CAACTCATCTGGCCTTACCGCGCGGAGATATCTTCTCCAGGACCCAAGGATCGCTCACTCCTCCTGCCGAGCCAGGCTAGCCCAGCGACATCACCAGAATGCCGAGGCTACCACCCGCAGGGGCCAGCGGAGGCATCACCGTGGGTCCTCCGCTGTCCGTAGGTACGCAGTAGACGCCGGACTTCGAAGGTCGAGTGGAAGTCCGAGGAGGCTCGCGAAGGAAGCTTGAAGTAGAGGAGATCCCAGCGGGAGGATAGGATAACAAACCTCTCTGCTGAATCTCATCTCCAGGATTCCGATTTTGTCAAGTTGTCACAGTATCAATTGGCATCACGCTAGTGTTGACAAGTATTGTCGAGCTAGTGGTGAGAGACCAAGCTCTGTATCCGCAGCGATAGAGCTTGGCGTACGTGTAACACTACTGTATGTACAGAGTACGACAGTCAGCCCCGAGGTTGCATGTACATCTCGATGCGCTGAAGCCTGACGATGCTCTCCGTCCTCTGCACGGGGGGGGGTAAGCATGTAACTTGGGATCTGGGACAGGACTCAAGTAAGCCCGGGCGGGTCATATCCCTCGCGAGGTGTATTACTGTATTGGGGTTGCCGTCAAACCAAACACGAAGAAGCTGCGAGGTTATCGTTCTGGGTTGTCGAAGTCGAGACAGCACAGACAGACAAGGGCACATTGCATCACCGACGACGGCACGGGTCTCTGGGCCAACCAATCCCGGGGAGACGTACGGGTTATGACGGCAAAGGGCACATGTTGCTCCCTTCGAGTTTGAGCGAGCATGGCAGAGAGGAGGAGGAGGAGGAAACTGGACGTGAGCTTTTCAAACCGGTGTCGTTTCTACTCTCTACGTATCACCGTATCAGGGTCGAGGCTTGAAGTACGGAAGGGCATGTCCAACTGCTCCTCGCGGTGGGAGCATAGCCTCGATAGAGCAATTGTGAAAGCTTCCCGACTCGCAAATGCCTCATGACTCGAGCCGCCTAAACGGAAGAACGCTTTGTCTTCGTGTTAAGCGATCTACCTACCGTACTGTATTCTGGTATGGAGTCAACCCTGCATGGGAGTCTCGCACGGCACAGTTCCGCTCCTTCATCCCTGACTTCGCGCCTTGTAGCCACCTCCTACGAAGCTGTCAACAGAGGTCGAGCCTCGGCAGGCTCTAGTTGTCTGAGAGAGCGATTTGCAGCCTGAAGTTTCCCGGACGGGCCATCTGCTGCTCCGGACCTTCACTCGGGACGACCGATGTCAATGGTGATCTTTCACCCTTTCGACTCTGGCCTCACGGAATGTCCTTTGCTTGGAACCACGTATCTCGGCACAAGACGAGCGATTGTGACATCAGTTTCGTGCGATAGCGACGATGCTCTCCGAAGTCACATGTCGCGACTCGCGTCGAGGGATCTGGGGGAAAGGGGTGCATGCCACACGATTCTGGACGTCCTCGAATAGGTTATCCGCATGTTATCCCCCAATGCAAACTGTGGCCGTTTTCGGTCTCGTGGGGGCAATATCGGCTCTGGAATCATCTTTGGTCACCCAGCTCACCGCTAGTGTGTTGTCTGTGCGCTGGCATCGTCTCTTCCATCAAGAATGATTGTCTACGGAGTAAGTAGCGACTTCACGTCAATCGAGTCTGCTTTCCAATGTTGACTTGGGAAAAAGCTTCTTTAAGCGGTCTCGCTAAGCGCGAATTCGTATCCTTGCCGTTACTTGGGTAAAAGCCAATGCCGGTCTCCTGCCAGAATCACACCCTAAGCGCAGAGCTGCGAGACTAGGTTCCGGGCCTCGCCTACATTAGCAGCGGCACAAGCATTTATGAAAAGGAGTCAGAGGGAAGAAGCACCATGGATACAAGTACTAGTAAATGTTCCCTAAGCGTAGTAAGAGCTAACCTCGCGACTTTGGGAAACCTTCCCTGGGGCGCCCTGCAGTAGTGAGGTCAACTCCCACTATTCTTAGGTAGTCTGCCTAGTCCCGCATGTGTAGTGTAGGTAGTTGGCTACCTATTCCACCCGTCCACCGATGTCCTTTGTTCGCGATGGTGGGCTGCTACTCCGTGAGGACCATCGGTCCTGATAGACCGTCCGAGCGCGATAATCATTACAACACGAAGTGCCGAGGATGATTGCATCCCCCGTCGTCCACTACGCCTCGACGAACATTTGACCGATGTCAACCCCCACCCCCGGCACTGCTGTAACAACAGTCCAACAACAGATGCGCTACATCCCACGGCAAGCGTCTGGGTGATGTACGGAGCACAGAGTACAAAACAGTTTGCGATGACCCACTTCGCTCTTTTGTACCTCGCCCTAGAGCTCAAGAAGGACTTTTATAACCATGTTTAGTACGGGGCAGATATCTTATCAGATGCGGTATAAGATTGCTCAGTTAGATTTCCAGTGCTCTGCAAGCAGCATTTGGTACGTCCAGACCGACCCCTGCAAACCACGACCATCACCGGAATGACCACTGTGGCCAGGAAAATCTGCAGCACTTTGAACTTATGAAACCGTCCACGGTCACCACTCTGATGGTCATCGTCATCATCATATGCCTGGTCATCACTGTTACGTTGATACCGGTAGCTTGCCTATTTGCACAGACGCACATCGGCAAAGGATATCGAGATGGGTACCGTACTCGACAGAAGAGAAGAGACGTGGCAGAGTTCCTATTCCTAGCTGACTCCCTGTTCGGTGTGCAGATCAGGATGGGTTCGTTTGTCCACTCATTTTCCCGTGTCGAGAAGAAGAAGTTTACGAACACTCGTGGTAGATGACGAGCTTCTCTTCCAGATAGACGATTGCGCCAGCTCGGCCCTTTTCCATTTTGCACGCAAACAGCAGACCGGGTTTCTTCCGTCCATGAGTACCCCATGTGAACAGCCCACTCAGTTGATCACAGATGAGATTGGTCATCGTATTGACGGGTCCCTAGGACTGCCACTCCCCGACAAGACAGATTTTATATCTGAACACCGGCTTCATCACTCTCGTAGAACTTTGTATCATCCCGGTACTGACAGAAGCACGGCCTGATGTCAGGCTGGCTCATCAGTCTTGATATATTCCAAGGATTCATCAAAGGCCTCCTCAGGTCTATCCTCTTCTCCCCATTCCCCATCGCGTTCTCGGAGGCCATTCTTTCAGGTAGTGGCATGATACTTGAACTTTTGGACAGTGCCGCAACAGCAGAAGCATGCATAGAATTGGAGAGGGCTCTGTAAAAGGGTGCTTAGGTGCGCAGAGAAAACCAACAATGTTTGGATAAGAACCATATGGGTAGTAGCGGCAGTGCGTCGATATGCCTACCGCGGCACACAGCTTTCTTGAGTCCCATCATCCAACCATCAGTAAAGATACGCTTTGTAAAAAAAAAATTAGATGTGAAATAAAGACGCAGAGAGAGATACTCGAAACTTGTCCGCGACACTATTCATCAAGGAGCTCCCAGATTGAAGCTACAGACCACATCGCCCACAGCCTGCCCTTTCGCACGTCGTCCAAAGGTGACAAGATACCGGTACATGTATTTTGTGCATCCAGCAGGCGGGATGGCTTGGTAGACAAGCTGTCTTTTGATCTGATCAACGGGGACGGGATCGATCGGGCCTCCGGAATCCGGAACCGTCCAACCTACCGAGTTACGTTTGGAGACCGGATCCTCACAGGTCATCGAGTGGATTTGTGGGCAGACTCCGGTAGAGCGAGAACCCGCCACGTCGCCACAACAAAACCAAAAAAAAAAAAAAAAAACATTGCTGTTGTAACCCGAGCCAGTGTTCAGTCAACGGGCTGTGACGTCTTCGCTTCGGAGCGCCGTCGAAAACAAAAACAAAACCAAAATCGAAAAAAAAAAAAAAAAAAAAAAAGAAGGGAGGTGAAAAAAAAGGAAAAAGAAGCAAAAAAAACGCCAAAACTTTGGTAGAGCCCTTGCGATTGTGCGATGCAAGAGGGCTACCTAGAAAACCACCGACTCGAGGGAAGGAGTTTTTTCGAGCCGCTGTCCTCAGCGGGAGAGCGGCTCAAGCTAACGTCTGCTGGGCCTGATCCAGCTACACCAAGCGAGCAAGCTCACCTGGTGCGGCGAGAACCAACATGGAAAACTCTTCTAAGTAGTCGAAAACAATTTTTTTTTTTTTTTTTCCCGAAGGGGGGGCAGATGACACGCCCAAGATGTGATGTGGTGGGGACGATCTCCACACGGGCACACAAGAATACTCGGGATTCGGTGAGAGGCTTGCGAGATGGGATACCGGTAGTCTTCTTCGTGTTGTCTCCTGGGGTCGAGCTACGACTGAATCACTACGTCTCCTGCGGACAACCTGCTCGGCCAGCTCGCTCGCTCTCTCTACGGATATGGAAGGGCACCTCTGGGCTCATCGTCTGGAGCGGAAGCCTGCTGGTGATAATCTGAGTACCAGTGTGTGTTTGGTGGGCTTGCGGGGTGTCGTCGGCCCGTTCGTGAAGATAAAGCGAGGGGGGAGCTGCGATCCGGGATGCCAATCGCTTCTTTACGCAAACGCCATCCTTGAACAGTTGCCTGTAGCATTCTCGCTACACCCCACGCATTCGACACAGCTTCTGACAGAGGAGGATTGACGATCGGCTAGGGTCTAGGGAGCGGCTGGTCTGTTCAGAACGGTGGTTTGAAGTACGAGCTGGGATAGGTCGCTTGTATTGGGGTGCTGTTTTGCTGGCAGTCTTGCATACCATGGATAATCAAGGGTGACCTATTTGTATTCACAACTCCTGAAAATCGAAATGGTGTATTTGCTGGTTCAACATTCTGCATTGGTCTATCATATTTATTATTTCCATAATGCCGTGCTTGACCAGTGGCCGAGACTTATCAAGGCAATCAGTATATCGACCTGACTGGCACTGTAGGGGGGTTCCACTGACATTAACCTTCGTCCACCGGTTGCTTCACCTACTTAAAGTCCTGGCAGTGCCTTCTGGACTGCTTAATGCCCCTTATGTTATGATTGGCGGGCAGGCCCGAAGAGATTAGAGGGTGTTGGGTCCGCGGTCTCCTTCGATAGGATCTTTTCCTGGGTATCCCATTCCAACCACTGCCCACTGGCTCTTTCTTCAGCGTCGAGCATAAATCCAGGACTCCAATACTCCCATTCTTCGCACTGCTGATCTACCCAGAGCATACCCCCTGAAACAAGATCATCGACGGCGGTTTTTGCCCTGGCTCTTGGCCAGCGCAGATTTAACATCAGCATTGATACGCTAACGTAGCCGAGTACCTGCGCTGCCTCCAGCACCGCACTTTGATCGATGTTGAGCTCCTTGGGCACAGAGCGGATGTAGACTTTGTGGCCGACCCTAAGGGTAGAGTAGGAAGACCCGAGAGGTTTCAAAGTACCAACAGCACGGAGGACATCATCACTTGAGTGTGTCAGTCCCACTCTAGAGTGTCGCTTTGGGAACACTTACTCTGTGATCTCGGTACTTCCCTCAGCTCTGGTGCTCATGATCCTATCCCGGACTTCCTTAACACCAATAAGTCCACCATTTTCCTCTCTTGTTGCCCCACAGACTTCGACAACTCTTACGGCCAGCTCGAAATAGAAGTCATTCACGCTTCCACCTAGCAGCTGTGCCCAGAAACTCCCGCCTCCATCTTTGCCTCCAGCCCCACTACTGCTTGCTAACGGATCTACCCCGATAGCTGAACACATACGGGCAAATTCTGCACGGAAGCTGGGGTTTGAACGGATGTCTTTGGCATGGGTCTGGGCGAACTGCTGAAGGAGAGAGCGGAAGACCGAGAGCTGGGTAGCAAGGGATGTCGAATGGGAACTGCGAAGATTATTTCCATGGGATGCATATTGGGCAGATGTTATTCTCGAGCGATCAAAGGCCGCAAGACCTACTCCTTTGCGTGACATTGTTGATGTTGATCGATGTCTGGAAGTGTTTGAAGTCGAGGGCGCACGTGAGGAAGTTGATAACGATAACGCAGAGGAGCCGCTAGTCCGTAACGACATTAGCACCCACAATCAATCCAATTTTCACTTCAATTCAAGGCCCCAGCATCACTTGATTTATCACGAACTCACTCTCCCCCGACACACTCGACAACATGGCCTCATCTCAGAGCGTTCAATGCTTCGGCAAGAAGAAGACAGGTATGAGCAAAACCTAGAAACTGCGATCCAGGGAGGTGCTGACAAAATTCTAAATAGCCACCGCCGTCGCCCACTGCAAGGTACGAACGATGCGATCACGAATTTCGCGCACGCTTTCGAACACTTAGTCGAAGTGAAGGAATGATAATACTGACTGGAAATGGAATTAGGCTGGCAAAGGTCTTGTCAAGGTTAACGGCAAGCCCCTCAACCTGGTTCAGCCAGAAATCTTGCGATTCAAGGTCTACGAGCCTCTCCTCATCGTTGGTCTCGAGAAGTTCGCCGGCGTTGATATCCGTGTCCGAGTCACTGGTGGTGGACACACATCTCAGGTCTACGCCATCCGTCAAGCCATCAGCAAATCAATCGTCGCATACTACCAGAAGTTCGTTGACGAGCACTCGAAGAACGCCCTGAAGCAGTCCCTCGTCCAATACGACCGAACCCTGTTGGTTGCAGACAACAGACGTTGCGAGCCCAAGAAGTTTGGAGGTGGGTTATGTTCTTCTGGAGATAATTTTGGTCATTCTAACGTGTGTGATAGGTCCCGGAGCCAGAGCAAGATACCAAAAGTCTTACCGTTAAGGAATGGGAATGTTTGGGGGCGTGGATTGGGAGAATTGGCTCTACTGCATTTGCGAAGGATGGGCTCTGCTTTGCTGGTTGTAGGATTTTGAGCAAATGAACGAGAGATCCAACCGGCAATACAGGGAATTACAAACAAGGTCTGCGGGTTTGATGCCGTGTATGATGTGTTGTGACCAGGACTAGATATCGGGACAGTATGCGACGCGCAGAAGAACCCGACCTCGAGCAGCAACTCCAGACATGAATCGGGTTTCGACTATGGATGCGAATGTCAAAGTTGACTTCCAATATTTGATTCGACTGTGAAATCGGTGGGAATTTGGTGCGATATGCGACAAAATCTCTGGCAAGAGTTCAGGCGGACTTTGTGACAGGATCGTAATATCGAAGTCGGCCTTCAGTGTCCCAAAGCCATCTTGGAAACGAATGCGATCTGTAACGAGAGCTTTTCAAACTGGAAATCCCTCGTCCACACATTTTGGGTCATCTCGGACTTCCAATATTCGTATCCCCGATGTAAAGCTCATTCGACATTCAGCACGATATGCAACAAACTGATACCAGGACCATTGACCATGTACCAGGACTCCATCCAGGTAGGGTCTCTCCTGACATACTAATGTTCGAAATTCCTTTCTATGTCCCGAGAGACCAATCGTCATTCTGTGCGATGAGCAGCAAAACGAGTTTAAGAAACATAAATCCACCCTCCATAAAAAAAAAGAAACCACACGGCACGCAGCATTTTTCTCGCCGGGCTCTCTGATATGGAAACCCCAGCCACTTTTGTCAATGTCCCAGCTTGGAATGAATATTCGGTGCGATGTGCAACAAATAAAAAAAATCTAGAATCGACTGAGAAGGCTTCCTGCAAGCCGACAGGCATAAGACAGTGTTCCTCGAAGTAGATTTTTGTTAGGATGGAGTGGGCACTTTTTACAGTCTGGAATATTGACTTCCAGAGGGAAAGTCGTCAATCTCTTCGAGTGAGGCCGCGCGGGTACTCATTTAATGGTCAGTCGCATGGTGTGTTTCTTTAGTACTTTATGCAGCTACGGTCTACTAAACTCACCAAAAATCCGGCGAGCTATCACCCAGCTTTGACCTAAGTCCCTGCGAAAGGGAGAAGGGTGGGAGGAGACTACGGAGCGATGTGCACGCCAGGGAACATTATATTGATAGGCAAAGTAGCACAGCCTATGCCACTCCTAATATTACACACAGTGCATACCCAGCGCCCACGAGGCCATCCAGCGAGCACGCCAAGTCATCCGCCATCCCTCATTTCTTCGTATTCTCTAGGATCGTCTTGATCATCTCGTTACCCACCTTGGTCGCGTCCGCGAACCGCGGCTGGAAGAACCTCTGCGTGCTCTCGAAGCGATCTCTGTACCCCTCAAAGTCCCCAAAAGTAACACACTCGCTCCAGCCCCGCGCTGCAAATGTGAACTCCAGGTCGTCGCTACGGAACGTGTTGTCCTCAATAGCCACGCGTATGACTTCGTCGAGCAGAGTGGGCTGGCGGAAGAGGTACTCCGTAACGCCCAGCCAGAGGCGGAAGAGGGGCGTGGAGCAGATCATATGGTCGTAGGGGACAATGTCAAGCTGGGACCAGCAGTCCACCATGGCAAGGAGACTGAGGTGGTTATTGGGGAGCGGCGTTGAGGGTTTCTTGCCGAGGGAGAAGCGGTCGAGTACTTCGTCCTTCAGGAGGAGCTGCTTATCCCAGTTCTGGGTGGGGAAGACCTTGGCGCCTGCTTTCTTGATGCGCTGCTCCAATTCTTCTCGGTGGCCTCCGAGCATCAGCTTGTACAGGTCGGTTACGGACTGGGCGTACTGCTTGATCTGCTGTTTGGCGTAGGGGTTCAGGATGGCAAGGCCAGCGTAAACGTGCCATTTCTGGGAGTAGATGCGCAGAGTAAGGTTGATCTTGACGTTCTCAATGCCACCCACGTAGCGGGCTATCTCCCAGGGGAATTGCTCGTTGGCATGCCACGCTTTACCCATGCTGAGGAAGGCCGCGTGGGTTACGGCCTGGGTGTCCGCTGTGATTCGATCATGCTTTGCTGCAGAGAGGTAGACATGAGTGGAGCCCAGGCAGGAGAGGACATTCTCGACCTTGTCGAAGTTGGCTTGGGAAGCACGGTGCTTAATCAGGACCTGGCTGGTGGTTAGGATGGAAGATATCGATGCCTTGAAGAATGCCTACCAGCGGCTGGCCCTTGGGATCAACAGCTGGACCATGAAGAGAATGGCAGCACACAATGTCTACATCTGCTGGGAGATGCTTCTCAAAGGCAGCAATTTCAGGAGCTTTGCAAGAAGTTTGACCGCCGACGATGGCGCCCTGCTTCGTAGCTATGGTGAAACATCAGCATTAATTGGGAGAGCAAATCGAGCCAGCGCATACAAGGTCCGTACTGTGCAGCCACCTTGTCAATCGAGGCTGCTTCAACATTGTAGATGATGTAGTCACTGGCGCGGGAGACGAGATGTCCATTGGGAATGATGTTTATTTGTTTCTATGAAAGTCTCAGCACTTGTTGCGGAGGGTGCTATCTCTAGGTAGTTACTATGCCTGCGAATTCCTCGCGGAGGCCCGCGTATTTCTCCTCCCTGTCGCACGCGTTCACCCTGCCCCATATAAGCCTACGTAAAATCGGTGTGTGCCCTGTACTTATACAATGCCCTGTTAGCTTGAGGAACCCAAATAAGTTCGAGTAGGGCAGTAGAGGGAGAGGATTTTTTCAGACAAATAAAATTAAGGTAGCTGAGATTTTTCATCAGTGAGAGCCAACCACCAGCTTGGCACCAGAATGGTGTTCAAGCCAGCGGAAGACAATACTCGAGCCAAATGCACTCAAGTCATCATGAAGAAGAGAAGGGAGAGAAAAGGGAAGGGAAGCTTACCATGAGAGCAAAGGGCCCAACGACAGACGGGTAGGAGAGATTTACCTCCATCCTGCGGCGCTGAGCCTACGGGCGTACATCTTGCCCATGTCGCCCAAGCCAATAATGCCTATCGTGAACTCCTCGGAGCCGATCTTGGTTTCGCCTGCGGTGTCGTTCATGTTGTTCGCAGCCATTGCTACAGGTACCCCAGAGGATATCGCGTCTCTCACATGGTACAGGACCCAGGTTTCATCGACAGGCCACTACCTAAGTCGTAATGCACGCTGGAGTTGTTGTCGATGTTATTGCAGAAGGAAAAGTATGGAAGTCAGGAAAAGAAAAGTTGAGCTCAAATACTCAGAATTCCCAGCCACGCTAAGCCGCGCTACTCCTAGCGCCGGAAAACGGCGCTACCATTTTACGCGAGGTACCATCCCACCACACGAATTTCGCATTGGTTGCGAACATTTGCACCTCACGAAATCGATCACTCCCAGATATCAACGACAAAATGCCTCCCAAGAAAGCCGCCCGCCCAGCGCAAGAAAACATCTCTCTCGGCCCTCAGGTCAGAGATGGTGAGTTGGTCTTCGGTGTCGCCCGTATCTTCGCCTCGTTCAATGGTAAGCCCTTCTCTATACCCAGAAAGAATCCTTGGCTGATCAAAATGCAGATACCTTCGTCCATGTCACCGATCTTAGGTTCGTCGAGTTCCCTCAAGAAGAGAAGTCCCTCCCACGCGCAGAAGTGGTGGATACATAAAGACGTGATTGTGAGATGGGTTCATAGGCTGACTTCCTGGGTGATTCCAGTGGCCGCGAAACCATCACTCGTGTCACCGGCGGCATGAAGGTCAAGGCCGACCGTGACGAGTCGTCCCCCTACGCTGCTATGTTGGCTGCTCAAGACGTGGCTACCCGCTGCAAGGAGCTGGGCATCAACGCTCTCCACATCAAGATCCGTGCCACTGGAGGTAAGTCTATGCTCCTTCTTCCAGCAACACTACAAAGTCGTGACAGGTTTCTAATCAACTCCCTTCGCAGGTAATGGTACCAAGACCCCAGGTCCAGGTGCGCAGTCCGCTCTCCGCGCTCTCGCCCGTTCCGGGATGAAGATAGGCAGAATCGAGGACGTCACCCCCACCCCATCGGACTGCACCCGTCGCAAGGGAGGTCGCCGCGGTCGTCGTCTGTAGGTTGCTTGCTTGCTTTGTGTGGTGGAAGAAGGCGTGGTTTTCGCTGTAGTAATGACACTCACGCGGAGGGACGGCAAGGTTATTGCCTGGCCCCCAACTTGCTCTACGTGTCATATCACTTCAGTGCAGCAGTAGAAATCCATGATCATAGAAGAAAAATTCCCCATTGTGACTGCAGATACGCTCTCTCTCTCCTTGCGAAAGTGAGAAGCCCAATCGACCTTAGGAGAAACCTGAGTACCTGAAATGACAAGTAGTATTATCCTCTCTCCCTCTCCGCAGCAATGAACGCCCCTCTCGCTATGCTCGGACTTGTGTAGAATACAAAAGAGACTGGTTCTGGAAACGCCATTGAAAATGCAGTACCGCCGTGACGCCCGCTATCCATTTATCCTTCCCTATATCCTGCCTGCCTAGTAACCTCGTAGCTGCGTAACCTCATGAAATATGCTCAGTCGTAAAGAGAAGAGAACGTCGATGATGGTACACTTGCCATTAGGTGGTTGGCGTGAAGGTTCGATTAAAATTTGACGTTGATGGAGGCGCGGGACTTTTTGCGATGACGTTTCTCTCTCTTTACACCTAAGCACAACCCATGAGATTAGAAACTGCGCGATTACAAATCTACGAGGCCTTTCTCTCGGCCATCCTCGTCCAGCTCGACTATTGCTGGCGCGTACTCACCTCTTTCGTCCTCGGCCTCGAACTCGCTCAACTCGGCATCAACGAACTCGCCATCCTCAAGCTGTGTAAGGATTAGCGTCAAGGAATCTGAAAGAGTCCAGTGAGGAAGGATTTACTTGGACTTGACCAGATCGAACAAAGTTTCCTCTCAAGTCCCAACCGCCGCGCCACTTCCAGAGGAAAGACTCGAATTCCGCGAAAGCATCTCCAACAGCCTTCTGGTCTGGAGTAAGCCGAGTTGAGGCCGTCAGCAACTGCTCATCAAGACGAGACTTGAAGGTGATCAGGATGTTCTTCAGGTCATTTTCAAGACTGCCATCCATGTCAAAGATGCTTCCCTCAATTCCAACTCCGTCGTACATCATCTGAGCGTGAACAGCCTTGATGAACTTTCGGCAGAAGACTGGTAAATCGACAACCAGGCGAAAGGCACGGAAGATGGTTCGGATCATATAAGCCCAGTGCTCCATGCAAGCGATGTTTCCGAGCAGCATACCCGTGAGGTAGCAAAATTGTAGCTCTCCGATAATCTCATCTGAATCCTCAAAGGCGCAGGAACCAGAGATGATTGCCATGATGTGTGAACTTGTATCCATAGCTTGCTCAGTTCGCTCTCGTCCAATAGACCTAGAAGAGAAGGTGCGCCCATTTTTCGGGAAAACAAAGTCCAAGACCTCATCCTTGCCATAGTGTCTGGCTTTATCCGTGTGTGTGCTGTTATAGAACTTTACGTCATGGCTTGAAGACACAGCCCAGTTATTCCAATCCTTTTGGCCAGTGACCCTCTGAAGATGGGCAACCTTCATGCACGAAGTCAAGCGGGTCCAGATAGAAGAATCAAGGCCATCGATCTGCTTAACAGTGTAGTCTCGGAGCTTGTCAGCAAATTCGAGCAGGTTGCTCTCCTGAATACGAATCTCAGCAGCACTGATCTCCCTATTTGATGTCAGTTCACGCACGTTCAAACACACGTGCGGACCTTATTTTAAAGCTGTATTAGGCAGCAAGGGGAATAGCTGACTTACTCAACAAGAGACTCGTTATATTGGTCCCACTTCTTAACAATGACCTCGCCATATTGGTCTGATGCCAGCTTGCCAGACATCAACCAAAAGCCAGTACGGAGTGAGCCATCTGAAGTACCGGCCCAAATCAAGTGAGCACCATGGGGTAGGCTCTTCACGCCTTCAAAGACTCCTAATTGCTTAATTCCAAGGCTGACAGTGTCATAGCCAAAGATGACGCCAATAGGAAGATCTCTGACCACAGCAACATCGCCTGACTTAAGGATCTCACAGCCCTTGATGTTGGGAGCTCGAGTAGGGGATGGAGAGTGGACGCGCAGAGTACCAAAGGAGTGGGTGCCAATTGCTGCCATTGATATGACTGACTTGGTGGAGCGCTCCGAGGAGGACTTCGACAGTTTGCAGGTGTTTGTGGTATCGACGCTGCCGGTCTCATCACGTTCAGGGTACTCGCGTCCGCGGGAGATCTTACTAGGGTTCTCAGGAGTTGTGGTTAAGAAGCTGGTGAGAGCTGGGTGGGTGGTGCCCTCCTTGCTACCATTTGATTTGACCGACAGCTGTCTGGACAAAGCAGAAGCGTGGTCCTTCACCGTCGATGGGCTTCTTTGAACATTCAGTTGGTCTTGGATGAAGGTCGAGTTGTTCTTTTGAACGGCCTCTTCGCTATTTGCGATGGACATCCTTTGGCGGGAGACGAGAGGCGTCACGGTGAAGGCAGCATCGGACTCCATCGAGAACGGCCCTATGCTGCTTAAATCGCTGGTGTTGACGAAAGGATCGTCAGGTTGCTGCGCCATTGTGTCAACGGGGATCAATCAAACGAGGAATAAGTTTCGAGAGGGTTGTACGAAGATTAAGATCGAAAGACTTGATCTGGGGATGTTTACTTGGTTCACCTCACTTCGCGAAACCAGAAATATTTCCCACAATGAGTTTCTGGACCGAGCGTCGGCGCTAGAGAGTATTGGGAGTAGACTGAGTGGTTACCGAATTTAGCGGATTTGACAAGTTTCCGTGGTGGATGACGGAGAGAATGAATGATGCGCAGAAAAGCAGCTGGATGCCTCTCCAAGCAAAGCGATCCGTCCTGGCGTGAATAAACGAGAGTGAGAACTAATTAATATATGAGCTCAATCAGCACTATTGCTGCATGCTAGAGCAATTAGAACAGGTAAGGAGAGAGGGTATGAGTAGAAGAGGGACCTGAATGTTTCTTTCAGTCTCACAAGAGGCGGTCGCTGGGGAATTTTATTTTATATAGACTTTTATACTCCATCCTACAAACTAGTGCCTAGTGCAAGGATTATGACGCGACTTGCTCCATATACGCAAATCATGCCCCGCAGCCCAGCCCGCCCTGTCTGAGCTTCTTGAGACGCCGTCACACTTTAAGGAGACTCTATTCATTCCATCGATCAAGGACCAACAACTACCTATCAACATCACCGACCGTGATAGTTACCCTCGCCAGAGGAGGGCCTTCCTCTCAACGGGATCGGGTCAGCCAGGGAAATATGCAGCGGTCTGCGGAAGTAAGCACTGGGGAGAATGGCCTGTTGGCGGCCCAAGACCCGACGGATGGAAAGGACACTGGGGAAGAAGAACAGCTCGAGCAGGCCCTGGAGACACTGAAAGAGATGCACATCCAGGTCAGCTCTCACTTAAGATCCTACTGTGACAAATTGATATTGATTCATGGAAAGCTTCGAGGCTTGCGAACTACAATTCCCAGACTGGTTGCCCCGCTGGCCAAAAAACAACCCTCGCGTATGCCCACCCATGGACTTCCTCTACTGTAACGATTGATACAAGGTGGCGACTAGCAATTTATGAGACTACAGTCCTAACAATTCCCAGCTGAAGCCCTCTTTCGTGAATTTTCGGAATCGGTCAACACGGCAAACCAGGAGCTACAGGAGTTCCGTCGATTGATGACCGATGAGGGGAGCGTTAAAGTTATGGAGCAGGCAAGCAAGAGCCGGACAGAGAATCCCAATGGAATCAGGCCGTGGAAAGTCACCGAGCACCCAGACTGGCTTACACGAGGTCTACGATCAATTTAGGATATACAGGATACATACCTACATAGCACATACATACCTATCGGTAGTAGGAATCTTTGGGGTTTGTTGAGCGGTGCCCTTGTCTGCAGACTGTAAGACGGGTTTGGGATATTCGTGGTGTACCGTTGGATGGGGGCCACCGAGATAATTGGGATTTGCTGGAGTCTTGCGCATATTAGGACGGTGTTGGGAAAGCCCATTGCTGGCTCTTGGATACCCAAGGAGGAGTTTGAATGCGGAATCATTTCCCATTTACTTTTGCGTCTTGTCACCTGGGACTGTTCCGGCACTACTCCTTAGAATCAATCATGACAGCCTAGAGACGTACTCCCAATATTGTTTGAACCAAAGCCCACGCTGGTTGAAAGGGTTGGTTGGTATTGTGATTGTTCGGGCTACATCCATGGATGCACTACTTTCTTTCACCCTTGGGGCCCTGCTAGCGGGCGACTCGATAACCCCCCACCTTGTTCGGTTGAGCCACCTTTATGAGTCTAAATTCTGCTCTGACAATGTACACGAACTTGCAGTTTGCAGTTTGCAGTATTGGAAGCGCTCGTGGAAAAGCCAGTTGTCTGCTGTTCGAGCCCTATTCCCGGCCCGCGGATCTCGCTTAATTCCAACCCCTCCACCGTAAAATAGAAATTTGAATTGGCGACCGCGGTCAGACGCAACGTGTGGCACTGCTCAACCCGATCCTCGACGTACATCCTACCACCATGGCATCAAGATTCTTCCACGGCGACAGCTCGAGCGAGAGCAGCTCTTCTGACGAGGAAGAGCTCTATTCCGACAAGGAGGAGGAGGAGGAGGCATCTGATGCAGAAGATTCCGATGAAGATGAAGATGAGGACGACGATGACTCCTCGAGCAGCGACGAAGACGGCGGCAAGAAGAGCGGTGTCAGCAAGTTCTTGCGAGATGCAGACTCTGAGAGCGAGGATAGCAGTGACGAGGATGTGGCCAAGGTCGTGAAGAGTGCTAAGGACAAGCGCTTCGAGGAATTGGAGGGCACCGTCAAGGCCATCGAAAATGGACAAAAAATCAACGATTGGGGTGTCATTTCTGCAGGTAGGTCGAGATACAGCAGATGGATGTCAGTGGTGTGGTGGCTAATGGACTTGATCAGAGTTCGATAAACTCAACCGACAAGTAGTCAAGCTCGTCCAGGCTGGCAATACCCCGAAGCTGTACGTTAGAGCTATCGCCGAGTTAGAGGATTTTATGAACGAGACAATCGCCAAGCAGAAGGTTTCAACAAAGAAGATGAATGCAACCAACGCCCGAGGCCTGAACGCTGTGAAACAACGCATCAAGAAGAACAACAAGGACTACCAGAAGGATATCGATGCGTACAGAGCAGACAAGGATACTTTCATGGAGTCCGAGGATGAAGAGGAGCCCGCGCCAAAGCCCAAGAAGCCAAAGGCCGTTTCTGGTGTGCCTCAACCCGCTTTCGAGGAGGACGACGAGGGATTCTCAACCGTTGGCAAGGGTGGGAGAACACTGCAGTTCACGCCGGAGAGTATTCTCAAGCATCTGCGGACCATTATGGAGTCTCGAGGAAAGAAGAACACAGACCGGACAGAACAGATCAAGATTATGGAGAAGCTGTACGAAGTTGCGGGGACTCCATATCAACAAGTCCGAGTTCTTTTGACCATCATTTCCACCCGATTTGATTTGACCACTGGTGTCCAGACATTCATGTCTCAGGATCAATGGAAGGCAGCTGAGCAAGAGTTTGCCAAACTTCTCAAGGTTCTCGAGTCAAATAGGGATTTGGTCGTGACCGAGAGTGCGGAAGAATGGGAAGATGACGAGAAGCAACCGACCATTACCCCGGGCGTGAAGTTCAAGATCCCTGGCAGCATTGTCTCGTATGTTGAGCGACTTGATGACGAGCTCACGAGATCCCTTCAGCACATTGATCCGCACACTGCCGAATACATCGACAGACTATCGGACGAAGGCGCCCTTTACAACAACATTACCCGGGTCTTATTGTACACAGAAAACCTCCGCCAGGACGAGAGCCTTCAGATTCCACAAGACAACCTCAATCGAATCGTGATGAGAAGACTAGAGCACGTCTACTTCAAGGTTAGTAGCCTGGGTCCCTTTTCCTGATGATCTTCCTAACATAAACAAAGCCATCTGCAGTGGTCAAGATCCTCGAAGAGAACTGTTGGAAATCGATTCCCGAGAACTTGGAATCCGCTATCACACCTCGTAGTCAAGTTCCCGATGCCACAGCGCTTGTCAACGTCCTCTGCAACTATCTCTTCGTCAACAGCGAGGGCATCATCCGTGCTCGAGCCATGCTTTGCCAGATTTACTTCCTTGCTCTGCACGACAACTACTATAAGGCTCGTGACATGATGTTGATGTCTCATTTACAAGAGACTATTAATGCTTTCGATGTTCACAGCCAGATCCTCTTCAACCGGACCTTGGTTCAAGTGGGACTGTGCGCTTTCCGAGCTGGTCTAGTATATGAGGCTCAGACCACCCTTCAAGAAATCTGCGGTTCCGGACGACAAAAGGAGCTGCTTGCCCAAGGTGTCATGATCCAAAGATATAACCAAGTCTCGCCAGAGCAAGAACGCCTCGAGCGCCAACGACAACTTCCTTTCCACATGCACATCAACCTCGAGCTCCTTGAGTGCGTCTACCTCACCTGCAGTATGCTTCTCGAGATCCCTCTCCTGGCACAAACTGGCTCGTCTCCCGATATCAAAAAGCGCGTCATCAGCAAGACGTATCGCCGCATGCTCGAGTACCACGAGCGACAAATTTTCACCGGCCCACCCGAGAACACTCGAGACCACGTCATGCAAGCCTCCAAGGCATTGGCCGCCGGAGAATGGAAGAAGGCGACCGAGTTTATCCACTCCATCAAGATCTGGGAACTCATGGCCAAGCCAGACTCCATCAAGGAAATGCTCTCTGCACAAGTCCAAGAAGAAGGCCTCCGAACATATCTCTTCACATATGCTCCTTACTACGATACCCTCTCAGTTGGTACCCTTTCATCGATGTTTGAGCTCTCTGACCGCAAGGTCGCCGCCATTGTCAGCAAGATGATTAGTCACGAGGAGCTTGCAGCCGCCCTGGACCAAGTCAACTCGTCCATCATCTTCAGAAAGGGTGTCGAGCTGAGCAGACTGCAGAGCTTGGCACTAACTCTCAGCGACAAAGCCAGCGGTCTCATAGAGAGCAACGAGCGGACTCTGGAGACAAGAACACAAGGCACAGCCAACGCTTTCGAGCGACAAGGTGGCAGAGGTGGACGTGGTGGACGAGGCGGGGGACGTGGCCGAGGAGGCGGTGGACGTGGTGGCGGTGGAAACGCTGCGCCGAGACAGTCCGGTGGTACTCAGTTTACAGGTGGTGCGCTGGGTGCTGCGATCCGGGCTTAGTTTGATGGTTTTGTTGCATTGGGAATGGGCTCGGGCTGTATGATCCATCGGGCGTTTCCATAGAGCTTACGTGAAAAAGCCCTCATTCTTTATTTGGTCAGACTCGCGATAGTCAGGTTCCTGAATGCAAATGTTTCTGAAAGATTCTACGTTTGCTCCGTCCGTGAAGTTGTTCGATGCACAGCCAGTGCTATGTTGAGGCCTCATTCCGTACTAACATATTCTTTTGGCTCTTTTTTCTTCGACAGAGGTTGTACCCGGAACAGAAACGCTTGTTTACTTCATGAAAGGTAGATTCTTGCCACTGCTCTCGACTACAGAGTGGCTTGGTTCAGATAACTAGACTCTAGGACGCTTTTTTCACGCAGGCTACCACCACCTTACCCCGTATTGTGGCTCCGCATACACGTAACAGTTTTGAATGTGCAAAACTTTGCGGGATAACAGGATGAGTACTCGCAATATAGCGAAGATTGAAACTTAAGGCTCGAAAACAAGTGATTGGCATGCTGTACTCAAGTGTGATTGGTACCGAACCTGCTACGAGCTTTCGTGTAGAGACAGAGGCGAGGTACCGAAAAAGTGCTGCATCTATGCGTGTCACCGTATGTGCCGGAGATAAAGTAGCGTGGCTTTGAGGTACGAGGAGCATAGATGAAGATCTCCAGCTGAGCGGTAGAGCTCAAAAGAGATGCGAGATTGCAGAGCCACGAGGCATAGCGTTCCTCGTGCGATACCTCGTACTTCCTGGCCATCAGGAATTCATCTGCTCAATGTTACCTTGCCTGAAGACCCTCTCGTACTGGGTATAGAAACCATGCTCTTGAGCCGCCATCTTCCTACCCAAACGTGAGCAAATACACACCCCATTTTTCTACCTCTGATAATACGTACCTCAGCAAAAGATTCATCTGCCCAACATATACCTCCATCTTCAACGCCCGAATCCGCGCCATCCGCCCCGAAAGCTGCTTCCTCTTCCGCACCCAGCTCAGCCTCTTCCACACCTCCTCTCGCCCCCACCAACATACCCCCTTCGCCTCGTGCTCTTGCTGCAGCCTTTCGAGATCCCGACTCAGACTCTCTAGCATGTTTTCCAAAGCCTGGACGGACTTCCCGAGGGTGCCGTGAGGATCGTGGATCCGCACCGGGCCGAGGCAGGCTTCGTCGGAGCAGCACTCGAGAACAGAGTGCAGCTGGACTCGGGTGGAGTCGACATCGAGCTTCAAGGCTTCAATCTCGCCAAGGGCGCTGCGCGTGAGCGTGTAGAAGGTCAGGTACGAGGCTAGGATTCCCAGTACGAAGGTCAGGAGCGAGATCACGTTTGCTGTGATGGTGAGCGGGGTATCGATGCAGTCCTCGGACATGATGGTTGGTTTTGGAAGAGAAGAATCGGAGGAAGAAGAAGAAGAAGAAGAAGAAGAAGAAGAAGAAGAAGAAAAAGAAGAAGAAGAAGAATGAATGATTAAATGCACGGTGTAACTAGCAACTCTAGACAGATGTTTTATGAGGAAGTTTAAATAGCGAAAAGAAAAAAAACTTGTGAGACGCTCTTTGAGATGCTGGAATCACAATGTTCCAGATAGATAGGTGCCTCGAGCTCGAGGCTTCGAAGCCACACCACCACGGGAGCAGAACTTGAGACCAGTCTCCGGGTATCCAGAAGGGAATCTCTCTATACCCAGTTTCAGCATGGCATGTTTGCAAATTCCGGGCAGACAGATCCGAATTCAAGTAGTTCTGAATTTCAAATATGCGGCCAGAATCCGAAGAGTAACAAAATGACAGTGGAACAAGAACTAAATGCCAAACTGCTCAGCGCGAAGGAGAAAAAACATATGCAGACACCAGGTTTCTGCTTGCAGTGTTGGAAAAGACAGTTCTCCGCCCATTCTGTGGGCGAGATGAATGCGAGAAAAGGAGGTAAAGACTCTGGAATAACGATGTTGAGAGGGGAGGTTTGTGAGCCAAACACCCGCCCCCCCCTCAAAAATACCAGCATGCACTATGTACATGGGTTTGGCAAATTTGAGAGCTGTCATCACGTATTATAGGATCGAATCAACAATACCACCTACCATGATGCGTGACCGAATGCTGTCAAGTCTCAAGGCCACGATTGAAAGTTCGAATATGAAGCCGGGTACTCTTTTGGGCCAAATGTTGTGCCTACTCTCTCGGTACCGAGCTTTCTTTTCTTGTTACAGGCTGTGGACCAGCGTCGAGAAGCACAGAATTACAGGGGCAACTGACAGCTACCGCAACAAATCCACAAGTCATGTGTATATATTTATATGTTGGTATTTCAGACTCCAAAGGTAAAGTGCAGCCATCCGGTTAGCCTTGCGCCAAATCCCATCCCTCCGTCAGTAAATATAACGCCTGAACTAAACCATCAATTCGTACCTACCTAGGGACTCGACGTATCTGCTGTACAGTAGTCATGCACTTAGATTCCACTTAAAGCTTGGATGACATGCTCGAACGAGCAACGTTGACTTCGATTAGTCCGTTCGGTCCCGATTGAGGGGCGTAGACCTCCGCGTCCTTGCCCGTGTTCTTGGTGTTCTTATGCCAAGACAAATCTGAAATAACGTCAGCTCACATTTCTGCAGACTTGCCAAGGACATACCAATTTCGAAGTAATGCTTGTTGGGCAGCTTGTACTCCACATTGCTGACGTCGGGAACAGCTTCCAAGATCTTCTCGCACATCTTGTACATGGTGTTCTGCACCGAGGGGCTACTCTCCTCCGCGAACGTCTTCATGGTGATGGACCGGGCATCATTCCACGCCTTGTCAAAGTTAGGGATTGCAGCATTGACAGCACTCATTCCCGCAAATGTCTTCCAGACCCAAGTGGCATCGACGTCCGTCGATAGGATTCTGTCCCAAACCTCAGGGAGTGTGGTGTATTCGTCCCGCACGAATCCGTGGAATGCAGAGCCGGTACTCTTCAATACCAGCAAGCCGACAATGCTGCTGCGGATATCGATGCCCTTGCCCTTTGTGATCTTTGCCTCGACGTTTCGGGTCTCATTGCCGTCGCGGTAGAAGGAGTGTGGGTGTGGCTTGCCGTCGATGGCCATGCGAGTCCATCGGTGGGTGATGACCTTGACGTTGGCAACAGTGATATGGGCGTAGGCTTCGACGAAGTGTGTACCCAAGATGCTGGCGAAGAGCTCGGGAGGTGTGACGGGGTACTCCTTAGCCTTGATATAGATGGTGTTCTTCATGGAGTCAGTTGCTACTACTACGCTGTTGTCGGCTTTCGTGTACCTGCCAATCCATTAGAAGAAGGCCGAAGAATAGGGAACAGAGGCCTACGAAGTATCAATGGCTCCTTCTAACAGCACGCAGACAGTCATTTCTGTAACTGTCTGAACACCAGTGCTCTGGTCCTTTTCGACCTTGTAGACCCGGACATTGTCCTTGCCATATCTTGCAGAAGCGACAACAGCAGACATGGTGGGTGATATATAAGAGAAGGATTTGTTTGCTTGTCGATTGGAGGAGTTATTCAGAAGGCGAGCTCTAGCAATGTCTGACCTATAGGATTCATAGGTAAAAGGTTCGGCTTTATGTAGGATGGAGCTCTTATCGAAGTACAGCTTGACCCGACAGCTCTTCTAAGAGGAAATCTCAAGTTTTTAATCCTCCCGCCGTCAATCCGAGTGGATTTTCCCGGAAACTTGGAGTAGATCGCCGACACTCTGCCGCCCTTCCCAGGCTTCCTATTGGCGTTGAAATGGATGCAATAGGGGTGATGGCCGTGAGGCTAGGATGGCTTATCGGACGCTTTCCGATGGCCGCAACGGGAGGCTCTCCGAACAAACAGACTCTCAAATGCTACCGGACCGTAGATGTGCAGCTCTTCAGGTGGAAGTTCATACAATTTATAGAAGTACTAAAGCGATAATCAGAAATGCCCCTTTGAGGAATTCGAGAGCCACTTTGAGGTGAGCAGGGGCACGGGCCAAACCCCAGCATGGAACTTGGAAGCTTGACGGCATGAGGAGTATTAACGTATCGATTGCTTACTTTATCGAGGACCACCATTCACCATCCTCTCCGTCTCTCCTCATTTCAGACACTCACTCGTTATATCACTGCGACCACAATACAGAGTCACTGATTGATTGATTCAGCTACCATCATCCCATCCGCCAACTACCTACCACCTTCTTTACTCTACTCGCCTTCTCCTCCGGGCCGCTACTCGCAGTGACCATCTCCTCTCTCTCCTCCCCCTCCTCCACGCAGCAGAACTTCGAATGCGACCCAGTGCTGAAACAGGCTGGATGACTTTGGCATCCATCCGATAACTCCATACGACATATGCCGCCTCCGGAAGACACCGTTTGACCTACTCTCATTGAGGGGCAGATGGGAGGACCACCGAACATTCTGAGCACGTCCGCGACGCCGACTCAGAAATCGCTATACTCGCAATCTTCGTACCCGTCAAAGACCAGCATCGAATCGACTCGAGATGGACTACAATCCCAGTCTGGGGCTAATGCACCCCCCCGCACTTTGGGAACCTCTGCTGTGTCTTTCGGACCTCGAGGATCATCTCTCGCGGCCACTCCTGCGCCTGGGAGTTTCAGTTCGAACATGCGCAGCCAGATCATGCCCTCCAGGCAAGCCTCCGGGCAAGATGCAAATGCTTCAATGGCAAATCTCGAAAGGCTTGACGAGGACGATGGATCCGGAGTGGGGCAGTTAACGTCGTTACGTGAGGCTCTGAACAGAGAAATGAAGATCAAAGAGGGCAGTGAGAACATGCTGGAGGCATTGAATACTAAAAAGGCAAAACAGACCAAGGAGCAACGGCAGAGAGTTGAGGCAGAGCTAACATCCTCCAACCAGAGGATCAAGGAATTACGCGCTCAAATTACAGAATATCAAAAGCCGAAGCTACCCACAACACCCACGAGAGCTCGTATGGATGTCTCGTTTCAAAGCAATAGTGTACGGTCTCCTCAAAGTGTCACTAGAAGTATTGGAGGATCGGAACCTGACGAGCCGACCGAGTCACCTACATACGTGCTAGCAGAACTCCTGCAGGCGCTAGAAGTCGAAGGACTCACCCCAGACTATTATGTTGGACATGCGAACAATTTGGTGGATCTTTTTAAAAGACACCCAACGATCAAACAAGACTTGGTATGGTCTATCTTTGGCCTTCGAATGCAAGTGATGCTCTTGAGTGAGAGTAGAGAAGTGGTAGCTGCAGGGTATCGGATGACGAGATATGCAATATCTGATATTACTTCATTGCAAAAGATCAGATCTTTAAACACTGATTGTCTTGTTGTCTTGTAAGTCTCAATAGCTTGCTTTCGATGTTCTTTATTGATTCTTTGACCAGATCTCTCATTAAGGAGAGGAAAGCGGATGTCGAAAGAGAACAAGCTTTGAAATTCATCAGAGCCTTTTTAGATGTAAAAGGGGGCGTCAAAGAAATCTCAAGAGCTGTTGTTAGGACAATTTCATCTGTTGCTGAACATACAGATGATCGATTAAAGTCAATTTGCATTGAGACTCTCGCTGAGATCATGGTTCGAGATCCAGCTTTAGCCGTCTCTTCAGGTGGAGTGCGACCTTTGGCAGACGCTCTAGGTGAGGGGGCATACGAGGGATCAGAAAGCTTAACAGCTGCATTCCTATTTCTCTTGGACTCGCCTCAGAGGAGGAAATATCTTCGCTCCGGCTATGAGCTTGAGGTGCTGTTCACGGCATTCACGGACTCTCTGTTTGCGAAGCCAAGCATCTTGAAGCAAAATTCAAAAGCCATATCATATGCTCTTCGATCCTGGCCAGGTCTCATGACATTGTCAATGTACAATTTCAGGGCCATCAAATCACTGGTATCTTGCCTGATGTTGCCAAACCCTACAATCCGAGACACAGTCATCGACCTTCTCTATTCTCTTCTGAGGATCAAGTCACCCTTTTGGGCTACCTCTTTCCTGGCGGGCCGACGGCTTACCACATACGGACGACTTGCAACGCTCAAAGCAGCTCCCCAGAAGACCCAGCAGCCGGTAGAAGAAGAACCAGGAGACAAAAGCTTTGTTGACCATTACACGGCGTTGCTACTTGCCGTCTTGATTTCTTCGGACACGCTCCCAGCGCTATTACAGGTGACTCGAGACGCAGACAGCTCCATGCTGAAGCGCAAGACGACTCTTCTGATTGGAGAAATCCTGAAGTTGGCTAGCAACCTCCTTCCATCAAATTGGAGTAGTGACTTGCAGCTTCTTCCTGATTTGTTCGCAGCCGCATCTCACTTTGGAGACAACGAGCGTTTTGATGCTACGGGTACTGTTTACCAGATAAGCAGTGTCAGTCGGACCTTGTATCGATCAAACCCAACTACTGCCAATCCTCTGAACAGCCCAGTCAACAACAGCAACGATAATTTAGCAAGCTTGGAGGATATGCCCAAAATGACTCCAACTGTTAACCTGGACGAGACGACATTTCGACAGCTTCTAGTTGAGACGCAGGTGTTGTCAAGCACCAATCCAGTCAAGTGGAAGTGGGACATCATTTTGAAAATCATCGAAGGCCCATTGCTCAACGGGAAGCGTCTTGATGAGGCGATCAAAGCTTCCAAGTTCGTCAAACGGATCATGAGCTTCTACAGACCTTTCAAGTACAAGTTTGCTGAAATCAGGAATACTCGCCTCACCCAGAAGTATGTTCGAGTTGGTTGCGCACTCATGAACACCCTTTTGCAGACAACGGTAGGTATCAATTACCTCTCGGATAACAAGCTGCTTAGGCAAGTTGCCGAATGTCTGGCCCAATGCGATCCGGTAAGTTATCAATCCGCGGCGTCCTTCTCAAGGCCGGAGCTAACCATCAGCAGACAAGTGGACTAACGGCCCAAGCCCCAATGTTTTCCAAGGATCACCTATCAGAGACACTGTGTTCTGGGTACTTTGCGATGCTTGGTACTTTGAGCGGTGATACCAGGGGCTTGCAGATGCTTGATCGTTGGCGGATGATCAACATGATGTACCATATCATGGATCTGAAGCAGCGGCCTGATCTCATTAAGCTGCTACTCTCTAACTTTGACTACAGCATACAAGGTCATCCTCGAGTGCTGCTTTCCAAAGCTCTAACTGCTGGATCAAAAGAAATTCGTATCTTTGCTACCAACGTGCTCAGAAAATACTCCAGTCGATCACGGCCCAATGGGCCTGCGAATCAAGGTGTTCGGGATTCGAAGTGGGCCATACAACTTCTTGTGACCCAACTTTACGACCCCGAAGTTGAGGTATGTGCCACTGCAATCAAAATACTTGAAGAGGCCTGCAACCGAAAGAGCTATTTGGAGTACATCGTGGAGTGCCGTCCGGCACTGGACCATTTGGGGGAAATTGGTGCGCCTTTGCTCTTGCGATTTCTGTCTACCTCGATTGGATATCATTATCTGGACGGTCTGGACTATATCAGCAACGAGATGGACGACTGGTTTCTTGGTCGAAATGACGGTTACGTAGGAGTCATCGAGGCAAGCTTGGCTCGATCCTTTGGCGAGATTCACGAGGAGTCTTCTCGACGGATGAGTATCGAAGATGATAGCTTTGAGATGGAAGGCGATAATGACTACCATGTCCCACCACACTTTTACAGGGAACTGACGAGGACGAAAGAAGGCTGTAAGCTTCTGCGGGATAAGGGACATTTCGAAGAGTTCGCATCAACGATACGCGACTACGGTATGCTATCCGACGACCCGGAACTGCTCCTCAAAGTCAAGGGTTCGCTATGGGCTGTCGGCAATGTTGGGTCAATGGAACTCGGGGCACCATTCCTGGAAGAATACGATGTTGTTGAAAACATTGTCAAGATTGCCGAGTCGCACGAGATCATGAGCCTGCGTGGAACGGCATTCTTCGTTCTGGGACTGATCTCTCGGAGTGTCCATGGACTGGAGATCCTTTCGGAGCATGGGTGGGATAGCAACACTACAAGCATGGGTCTCTCGCTTGGGCTCTGCATCCCGAATGACCTGAGCAAGCTGTTCTCATACCAGCCTTGGAAGCACGAGAAAGTCATGGATGTTATTATGACTGAAGAACACCTCGTCGCAGTCGCAAAAGCCCGGCAGGACGATGACGAAGTCAACCAGCGTATCCTGGAGCTCATTGTTGACCTCGGCAATACCGTGCTACAGAAGAGAGCTATGACTGAGCTCATGCATATCAAGGCCAAGAAGGTGCCTGGCTTCCGATCGCCAGCACTGTTCAAAAAGATCATGATACTGCTTGAATCCCACCACTTCCGCCTCGGCGTCCGGCATTTCGTGGCGGAGCTCTTTGACCGCAGCGTTCTTCGTCGTATAGTATTTGAGGAAGACATCAGCGAGGAAGAAGGACTCGATAGCGACGATGGAAGTGGCAGTGAAGATCGCACGGAACGAGCAAGGAGCGTAAGCGATGCATCGAGTTTCAGCGCCACGGATATATCTGGCGTTTAGGGATCTATGGTTGTGGCGTAGGATATTGTACGAACATCGCGGTGTACTTACTTGGTATAGGAAGGGCAGATATCTGGCGGCGTTTTAATTTTCTGCTGTAAACAAAGGGAGTTTGGGGCTCGTGAAGGAGGCACTGAGCAAGGCGGATCTTTGTAGAGTCTTACGGAGCGAGGGAGTCGTGATGACAATGAAAAGCATTGTGAGTTGACGATATAAGCAGTCCTCCACGGATTTTGCGCCTACGGGTTGAAGAAGCTATTAGGCATTTCCGTATTGGTAGCAAGTGCAAATCGATTCGCGGTCAAGTGGCTTGAAGACGCAGTGGCTCTCACTCCCACTCGAATACAGCTGAGGAACTGTTACCGCCAAGTGGCGAGTCGTGAGACCCAGTATGTGTTTTTTTCCTTTGTCATATCGACCCTTGCTACTTCTTCTAGAGCAGTGATCGCCGTGCCAGGTGCGCGTTGGAACTACAAGAGCGGTCGCTCTGTTCCGGTACGACACAGAGGCGTTCCCGGGAATCCGGGCATCCGAACTCTGAATTTGGGTTGGATGCCCGAAGGGAAGATACTTGGATCTTGCATCACAAGCGTCCTACGATCTTGGGATCCCCGAATCTGTATAATTTCAAGGTGTATATTTCTCTTCCAGCTCAGCTACTCTTTCTGTATTGGACGCTGATACTCACAGCCAATCTCTTATCATATCCCTGGATCGACCAGGTAAGATGGTCAGGTCAGTCCTGATCAGAAGCCACTGGCGGCCAAGGCGGACCGTTACACGTAGCTTTGGCGACATTGTTGTGTTTTGGCTTGCATTGGCCAGTAGGCTTCGAGCTTTCGGGCTATTATGTACATCATGTCTCACTCGCGCTGTCGAGTCCAGTACAGTGGGATGGGTGGCTTCTCTCAGTACGCCACTTGCCACGATCTCAGCTCGACACCTCATGTCTCACCTGCCAATCAATTCAAATTATGCCAGACGCTTCCGAGATTGTAGATCCCGTCTTAAGGATATAGGTATTTCGGATATGGAATCCCTGACGTACGGGCATTTGCTGCTTGCTTTCGTCCCATTTTCCTCTCCTCTCCCCCTCTTTCTCTCTCTTCGTTTTTTTGTCGCTATCCAGCTTCAAGATGCATGCCCCCAAAGCCTTAAAGAGATTGAGTCTTGAGCTGGGCTTCGATTCGGTGTGGCGTTCGAGTTTAGACCTCAAACTCTTGATCCTGATCCGGATGGTTCGCATGTTCGCTTACGGAGGCACGACTATCATCCTCGTTTTGTTTCTGTCGGCGTTGGGGATTCCGGATACGAGGATCGGGCTGTTCATGACGATGACGCTGGTTGGCGATATTGGCGTTAGCACGGTCTTGACGGTGGTGGGGGATGGAATGGGGGTGAGGACGACGATGGCTATGGGGTCGCTGTTGATGATGGGGAGCGGTGTTGCGTTTGCGTTTCTGGATGGGTATTGGTGGCTCTTGCTGGCGAGTATTGTCGGGGTAATTAACCCGAGGCAAGTCACTTCACAGAGGGACGCGATTCCAGGGGCAGTTGAGCTGACTTCGGATTATCAAGTGCGAACGAGGTCGATCCGTTCAAAGCCATCGAAGAATCGGCGATTGCTCGCCTAAGCACATCATCGAACTGCAATGATTTCTTTGCCTGGTGGACACTTCTCGGTATGGTGGGAATGGCAGCCAGCACGCTCCTCACAGGCTTCACCGTCGACTTACTGCAAATAAAATATGGGCTCAGGCCCTTGGAAGTCTACCGACTGGTGTTCCTCGCATACGCCATGGTTGGTTTCGTCAAGCTCATCTGCTCCCTCTGCATCAGCACCCAAGTCGAGATGGAGGCCCGATCACCCTTAAGCTCGATCGTCGAAGTCAACGCCGATGACGACCAGACACCTCTGCTCTCAGGAGAGGAATACATAAGCTACGACGCCTTCTCCGAGCGCAGTATTCCCGTCGACGGAGAGCCAGCCCCGATGTTCACGCCGGAGTCGCGCTCCTTTATTTGGAAAATCAGCCTCGCAATCACGCCGGATTATATCGGTTCTGGGTTAGCACAGATCGCGTGGATGACCTACTTCTTCAAGCGGGAATACGCCATCGATGAGGGCTCGCTGGGCCTGGCAATCTTCATCGCTAGCATCGTAGCCTCTTTCCTCAATCTCCTCTCCTCGCCCATGGCTCGCGCACTGGGCCAGGTCCCGACCATGGTGATCTGCCACACCATCACCTCCATCTCCTTGCTGATGATTTCGGCGCCGAATAATAAGACGTTGGCCCTGGGACTCTTTATGGTGAGGATTGTACTGCGGGAGATTGACGCTGCGCCCAGGCAGGCTTTCATTGCCGGCGGCGTGCTGGATGAGGAGAGGACGCGTGCGGTGGGGTGCATCAATGTGGTGAAGACAGTTGGTGTTTGCGCAGGCTTGTTCTTGACCGGGGAGTTTGCGGGCGTGGGCTTGTTCTGGGTGGCGTTCATGGTGGCTGGAGGCTTGAAACTATTGCATAATGTGTTGATTGTAGGGTTCTTTTGGAACCATAGGGGGAGGTACGAGCCCTAGTCTTGATGGAAAAGTATATGTACCAAACATCTTGTTAGCCGATCTATTGTTGTGTGCTTCCATGCCTTTTTGTGGTAAGTCGGTAGAAGACTGTATACAAGTGACCAGACCCCATAGAAAATAAAAAGTATCAAGCTAACTCGCCCCGAGCCACAAGAGAGATGGACCGGATATTAAAGGCAAGACTTTCCCTCAGATTTGCTGTCATTTCGCGAAACAGTGACCCACCTTATTGTCAACCTCCGATTGGGGTAGGTACCGCCTTGCAAGCGAGGCAAATCAGAGGTCCCGGAGCAAGCCACAAGGTAGACTGATTTGCAGGGCAAACCGAAGCATCAATCAAGACTAGAGGCCAAATGCGGAAGCTTGATTGATGGAGTAATGGCATGATAGGCTTGCTTCCAGGGCAGATGCGAGGGGAAGGGAAAGATGTAGAACGCATTCTGTACGGTACTAAGTAAGCGAGAGATAGCTAGCACCTCTGGTCCTCAACTGGAGGAAGCCCCCATGATTGCACTCAGAAGCGCTCATCAAAAATATAGTGAGGTGACCACTTGCGGCAATCAGGAAATTACGGTGAACTGCCGAGGGCAACAGCGCCTTGGAACTGGATAATATGCCAGATTTACGATCCATAGCCAAAAATGCTTGGACGGCTTTGGGGGGTGGTAACTAGCCAAGCATGTTGGCAACGAGTTCAAAGATGATGATTTTTTTTAGCTACCCCAAGAGCCTCGTGCCTCGTGGTGGCCATCTTACTTTTTTTTTTTTATGTTTCTCTTTGCTGAGAAGTTCACCAGCTGGCGGAGGTGGATGAAGGCGGAGCGGAGGGCTTGTCGTTGGAATGAAATTCATGGGTTGGACAAGAGAGCACAAAATGCACATTGAGGAGTGAAAGGGATCATCTACAGAGCAAGAGTAAGGACTATAACAACAGAACTGAAGCAGCCCCAAAAAGTGCTGAATAGATTACTGAATCTGGATGCCAACGTGGATCAGATAGGCAGCATTTGGGCATAAAAACTTGCTCTTCGGCGCCAGAGTCTAATGCATGCCTCCAAAAACAAAGGAAATGAGTAAGAAGAAGATGCTAGAAATTCTGATAGCAAAGTACTCGAAATCTTAGATCTGTGAAAATCCACATTGGAAAATGGCGCCTGGTGTTCGGAAAATCAGAAAGTGCCAGCGAGGCCGGCTACTGGCCAATTTGTGATCCACAGGAGTCGGATGAATTATACCCGGGATACAAAACCTGTATACGCGATACTTCAAACTTGCTTGTACCTGCCCAGGTGGCTTCAAATCCAGCTCTTTACAAGGCCCGGTTGGGCCAAATCTTACATCTTCGATTCCAGTAGTGCTTCTGCTGGCAGTCTGCCATGACACACATCCATCAAACACCCTCGATATGGTACACACAGCCTGCTTCACCTCTATAACCTAACCTTCGGCTTGGTCTCCTCCACCCCCGTCGGCCACTCCGCAACCATACTCTTCCCCTTAAACCGAACGATATTGTCCTTGTACGGATGCGCATCCCCCTCAAACGCCTTCAGCCTCGACAACCGGTCATCCCTCAGCCGATTCTTCGGCAGCATCCCACTCACCGCCTTTCGCAACACCTCCGCGCCGCCCAGCTTCGCCATCAGCCCATCCATCGACACGGTCTTCAGGCTTCCGGGGCGGGTGTTGTGTCTGTAGTAGAGCTTCTGCCAGCGTTTCTTGCCGGTCGTATGGAGCTCCGAGCAGTTCGTAACCACCACGTAGTCGCCGCAGTCGGTAGATGGGTCCCAGATCGGCTTGTGTTTGCCCATGAGGAGCACGGCGATACGGGAGGCGAGGCGGCCGAGGGACGGGGGAGTGAGGGCTGCGGATTGGGGGGAGGGCATGGGCCGGATGGTCGTGAGGGCGTGGTGTGGTGTTGTGGCCGAGATGTGATGCCATGTTCGGGAGTAGGCGAGTTTGGTCTGGAAAAGCTGTTAGGTTGTATGTTGCAGAGGCATTTGAAAAGCGTACTATTCCATTAGTTTGTGACATGCTGGCAGCTGGTCCCCTGTGCCGATTGGGTCGACGGAGAGGTTGTGAAGGGAGGAGATTCGTCTTCTGGCTGGGTAAGGGCCGTTGCGACATCCAAATGGAAGTCAGCCATTTTCAACCTAGCTCTCGCGGTGAGAGGCGGCAATATGGAGAGGCGAACTCAGTGCATTTCAAAGCAATACTCCACCATCACAAGTTATTCCTGAAGTCATCCTCACCTCATACAACTTTTCAACATTGATACGAAGAGCTTTAGTTATAATAAAGATTTATTTACCCTCAAAGACCTCAAAATGGCGATCACGACTCCCTTCCAGGTGAATCCGCTCGATTAAATAGCTGACCATATCACGTGGAATCTTTACTGACTGCTTCCAGACATTGTTTGCAGTCCCAATGACCTGTCAAAGCTGTGTAAATGACATATCAGGATCATTGAACAAGCTCAATGGCATTCAAAGGGTCGAAGCAAACCTCAAAGATCAACTCGTGACTATCGAGGGCACAGGTTCGTCCAGTCTCGAATGTTACCGGTATGCATGACTCTACATGTTTACTCACGCTTTGTTAGCGGCCCCTTCCGCGATAGTCGCTACCATCCAATCTACGGGACGAGATGCTATACTACGGGGAACAGGTGGTTCAAACAGTATGTTGTACAGTTCCGAAACTTGTAGCCAAGTTTTGTTGAGTTATACGACTAGGTGCGGCCGTCTGCATTCTCGAGACGCATTCGACGACCGTATCGGATAAAGTCAGGGGACTGGCACGAATGGTCCAAGTTGCTCCAAATTTAACGCTAATTGATCTCACGATCCGGGGGCTGTCACCAGGCAATTACTGGGCCACTGTCAGGGAAACAGGTGATATATCAAATGGTGCGGTATCAACACGGGGAATCTGGAACGAGTCGGAGGAGTCAAAAGACAGTGCCATCAAACACAAGGGATTTCTGGGGACGGTGCAGGTGGGGAAGGATGGAATTGGAAGCGTGTTCCTCGACAAGCCCGTTCAAATATGGGAGATGATTGGCAGAGGGATGGTGGTATCGAAACAGCACGACGGCGATAACGAATTTGAGAGGAATGATGCAGACACGCTCGTTGGCGTCGTTGCTCGGAGCGCAGGAGTTTGGGACAACGATAAAACGGTGTGCTCTTGCTCTGGCAAGACGTTATGGGAGGAAAGAAAGGATGAAGTGAAGAAGGGCATGTTGTGATAGTAAATGGGACGCGGAATGCGCTACCAGGCACTTGAGGTGTTCGGAGGATAACTCGATAGAATCTCTTTGCGCTCTGGTATCTCGTGTGGAAGCTGATATCGGAACACTTTGAGCCATGGTAGCTTTGGTCCTTGAGGCTCATCTCAAAGCGGCAGCTGTCGGACGTCAAGCTGAAATACGTCCCCACGTATCGTCTGAATACGGGTACTCTGCGAACGGCTTGTTCGTCATCTCATCCTGCCCTGATGATGATCATGGAGAGTTCCAGGCCGAGCTCACAGAGAGCATGACACCTGCCAAAACGACTAGCTCGCACGCAGGAACCCACCTTGTAGGTTGCTAGAGGTGACTATCAGCCTATCGAAGTTGTTGAGACGAAGTCAGAAAGCTCCTTGTCTGGCGGTCTGCCAACTGGTACCGTGACACCACCTATCCAGATCATCCAGATCTGGTGGTCCGCAACGGTGTTGCCTGGCTCTGGAGTTCGGAGTCCGGCATAGGAATTCGCTGCTTCTAAAACGGACTTCGTGGTAAGCGAGTTTCGGCTGTTACCCCCGAGGTTTCCCGTGCACTGGGCTCTACTGTACGTACAGTAGGTAAGGGGGTGGAAAACGACAAGGAGCTGCCCGCCTTGTAAGCACAGCCACGAATCTCCGCCGACTTTACTCCGTAAGGTGGATGCATCTGCGAACAATTCGTGTTTCTCGGGTCGACGGCGAGGCGGTGCTGGTGGTCCCCGATAACTTCGCTTGTGATACGTCCTCTGTACAGGAACTCGCTTTTGGCTGCATACAGCAGATGCAAGCAGATGCAAGCAGATGCAAGAAGATACAGAGTACAGTATCAGCGAACCCTATTCCGAACAAGTTTTTCATATTTTGATTGTACAAGCCTTCTATGGTGCGCAAAGGAGTCCCGAGGCCATCAACCTTTGACCCGGCTCTGATGATGTGCGTATCAAGCCGGCTACGCGCCCTGCAACGCCCTGCGTGGCAGAAGTGCTCTGCGGGCGAACTAATGGCTAGATTCCGGGGCTCTTGGAACACTCGCTGCTTGGACATGGCTGGCTCTCCGGACCACGGACCACGGACGGGCATCTTGGACTCTGGCATCCTGGACTTTGGCATCTTGGACTCTGGCCCTTCTTTCGAGGTCTCACTCTCTCCCACTTTCCCTCTGACCTCTCTCTCTTTCAACTCTTGGCCTCATCTCAAGCAACGCGTCGTTCAATCTCAGCATCTTGGCTGACAGACCCGTGGCCATGCCCCTCCGTCCAAGCAGCGCTTGCCCAGCCTCGTACAGTCGTGCAGGATAGTACCGGTAGTACGTAGAGTACGACGAGCTCTTGGACTTTGGATATCAAAAATCAACATAAACATAAAATCAAGATCCAGATAGAAAAGATCAGATCCCTCGAAACTACTCACGTTGTTCAAGAGAAGAACAAAACCCCTCCACTCCAGTAGTCGTGATCTAGAACTGCCAGTCAAACGCGAATTTCCCATATTATGCATAAAGTCCAACTCTCGCCTAGCAGGGACAAGCCCCGCTCTCCCGCTCGGAACGGCACGTGGTAAGCGCCGAACACGCGACTCCACTCGATCGACTTTCCTTGTCGCCCGCTCATTCCTACTCGACTTTCCCTCAGTCCCCATTACAACCACAACTACCGATACAACCTCAATCACACCATCATCATCACCGACAACTACACCCACCACCATCACTTACAACACAACGACAGCTGCGAGGCAGCTAGATTGCGATTGTACCTCATCTACATCACTGGGGTCGGACGACTATCTTTTACCATCTTCAACTCCCGGTAATCTCTTTCCGAATCACCCGCACGCTCTCGATCGGCAATCTAGACGCAAAACGTGAAACGCACACACACGTACACCCAGAGCAAGACGGACTCTTCCTGATATCTTTATACGGGTCAGCACCACGGCACATGGTAATATCAACCCCGCTGTACGCATATCATCATCTGCAAAGCCTGTGGAGTATTATGCCGTGGAGGACAACAGCAAATTGAGAGCAAGAGCAAAATCTTATCTTGTTTAAGCGACGAGGCAATATATCATTGGCGGGATTTCGCAGCACGAGTCGCGTCGAGTTCTACACCCTCCGTCAGACGGCTGTGGTCGCTTCGTGAGCGGCCACTGATTTGAACAAGGCACGACCAAATCCGCCCAAACCAATACTTTCATCATGTCCTTGAAGCAGGTATGTCGCCACCTGTGCTCAAACTGTGAGGTCTGGGTACTGATCCATGGTAGGAAATCGAGACCTGGGTATCGGCGCTTGGCCACTACGACAACAATGAGTTTGAGGAGTCGTTGAGAGAGTTCGATGCCATTTCTGATACCTCAAAGATCCTTTTCAACTGTGGTGTCATTCATGCGACACTAGGAGAACATGAGAAGGCGGTTAGTACCACCCATTATGTCTGAAGTCTGGAGACTAAACATGTGTAGGTCGAATGCTATCAAAGAGCAGTACGACTTGATCAATACCTAGCTGTAGCATACTTTCAACAGGGTGTATCAAATTTCTTGGTTGGCGACTTCGAGGAGGCATTGGCCAATTTCAACGATACATTACTCTACTTGAGAGGGAATAACATGATCGACTATGCGCAATTGGGTCTCATGTTTAAGCTATACTCCTGTGAGGTCCTCTTCAACCGAGGACTTTGTTATATATATCTGCAACAAAAGGAGGCGGGAATGCAGGATTTCTCTTTCGCCGTCAAGGAGAAGGTCGTCGAGGATCACAATGTCATTGATGAGGCCATTCGAGAAGAGGCAGAGGTATGTCTTGTTGAGATTTTGACTCGACATCTTTGACATTTCTCAGGGTTACACCGTCTTCTCGATACCAGTCGGTGTGGTTTACCGACCGAACCAAGCGAAGGTCAAAAATCTCAAGACTAAGGACTACCTGGGCAAAGCTCGCTTGGTGGCAGCATCGGATCGTGCCAATGCCTTCACTGGATTTGCAGGATCAGAGATAAAAAATGTGAGTCTCCCGGAAGCTGTTCATGTGCCGGACTCATGTTTCTAGGCTAGCAAACTTGCCGTTAAGGACGATAGACCCGCTGAGAATCTCTCTTTCGCTGCAACGAACCTTGTCAAGCCCGGTCTTCAAAGTAAACGGCAACAATCAGAACCTCCGCTCAACCGCAACGTCTTCCCGCCAACACCGCCTCCCGAGGCGGTGCCCGGAAATCAGATGACCCGAGGAGCTTCTGTTCGCAATGGTCCCAAACCTCAACTCGCCAGAATAAACACCGAGAATACACGTCCAGATGAAAGATACGAAGTCCGAGACGAGAGAATAACGAGTCCGCCGCAACGTCTCCCCATCCGAAGAGCAGAAACCGCCGCACCCGCACGACAAATGTCAACACGAGACTCCTCCCGGACCAGGCCAAGAAATCAACAGAGGCGTTCACGAGAGGAGCCCGCGGATGACGACTACCCAGGGGAGCTGTATGACATGTACTCCGCTGGTGGAGGGAGAAATTCCGGGGGCAAGCGGAATACTGGAAGCAACAAAAGGACACAAGGCCGGTATATCGAAGAGGAAGAGGAATACGCCAGCGACTATGATGACGCCTCCTTCGATGAGAACGACTTCGAGATGATCCCACGAGGTAACCCGGCACGATCGCGAGCTCCATCGTCCGCCGGCGGCCAATCGCGACGACCCGACATCCGCAAGATCAGGATAAAAGCACATGCTGAAGATGTTCGATACATCATGATCGGTGTCGCTGTTGAATTTCCCGACTTAGTTGACAAGGTCAGAGAGAAGTTTGGTTTACGGAAGCGTTTCAAAATCAAAGTCCTTGACGAGGATATGCCTGACGGGGATATGATAACCATGGGCGACCAGGATGATTTGGATATGGTGATTATGAGCGTGAAATCGCAGGCGAGAAAGGAACGTCTGGAAATGGGGAAGATGGAGGTGAGAACCCTACAAACCCCTTAACCCCCCTCCTCTTTTTCGTTCGAATATCGCTAACTTACTGCAAAGATTTGGGTGAAGGAAGGTTGAACGAAGCATTTACGAAGATTATGACAGCATTTCTTTTTGAGAACAAGTGCATCACATATACCAGCGGGCGAATCTTGCATATCTAGGTTGGGAAGGAGCATTTTGGCTGGTTGAATTTTCATAAACGTAATATTTGCACTACCGATACACGTCTGGGACGGGTTTTGCAATGTTTGCTTTATCGGCAATACGCAGGAAGGAATTGAGTTACATTAGCTGCCCCGTGGGGTTTGATGATGCTGCTATCAATTTACCACATCATGGACAAACACTTCACACGGTGTGACACCAATTAGAATCTGCACATGCAATTTCATCTCACTATCCAGCCCACCTCACATGGGCATCCTCTTCATCTCCTCTACCGTCCAATACTTCCTCATATTTTCCGCACCGAGGGTCTTAACTTCCTGGTCCAAATGCGTCCACAGCACTGTTCCCCAAGAATCCATCTTCTCTTTCAACACACTCAACTGCAACTCCGTCTCGCCACTCTTACACTTCTCCAGATACGCTTCAAACTCATCCATGCCCTTGTGGATCTCCTCATGCTGCCGCAACAGCTCGGCCGCATTCTTGCCCTGCCTAAATTCGGGCATCTTGGTGGCGAGCACCGGGAAGATGTGCTGCTCCTCGATGGCGTGGTGTGTGGCGAGGTGCGAGCAGAACTGCAGGCCGGTAGAGATGAACTGTCTGAGGGAGAGGTTGCGCGGGCGGGCGTTGCTCTCGCAGGCTTTGTAGAGCAGGGTCCAAGATTGGCGGAAGTGGTTGTGCTACAAACAGGTTTTCAATTTCCAAACATCAGCCATGCCTCTCTTCTCTCCTTCTGCTTTCTGCTTTCTGCTTCTTTTTCCCCACTTCTCGTTATCGGGGTAACCCTTGAACTCTTTTCCATGATGAGGTGAGATGGGTATGAGATGTGAGATGAGAGATAAGTAAGAGAAACTGCAAACATGCGAGCGACATACGAAATACTCCATGTGGTCTGCCATGCTGTTGTAGGCTCTGAACTCGGCAGCACTTAGCTTTGGCAGCTTCTCCTGCCCTTTCTCCTCTTTCTCCACCTCCTCCTTCTCCTTGGCCTTCTCGCTCTCGGCTTGCTTCTTGTGGTTGTTAATCACATCTGCCCCCGTCTCTCCATTCAGCATCTCCGCCTCTGTGCTGGCGGGTTTCGCTAGCCGGTCTACTTCCTCGATTATCTTGTGCTCTTGCTGTAGATCTGCCATGATGGTGTGGAAGTCCTGCTGGTGGGGAGCGGAACAGGTGAAGTTGCGACGGCAGATTGGGTAGGATGGCGGTGGTATCGGTATCTGGATCTGGTTCTGAGCATAGACTGCCGTGTGTGGTTTTGGGGCTTGGGCGCGTGTTATTAAGGGGGAGGAGGCTTGGAGTAGGAGTTGGAAGGGGAGGAAGGGAGGGCGCATCTGCATTTGCTATTGTTGCAATGGGATGAGGAGAGGATTTGGGGAGACATGGCGAGAGATGGAGGCTGTGTTGTCTTGTGTTTTATTTTGTAGAGTGGCGGAGGAGAGGGTTGAGCGGCCTGGCGAGGGATAAGGAGGCGTAAAGATGCTAGCTGTGATGAGAGATACGGAGGTGATGATTGGTTGAGGAGAGGCGGTTTTGGTGGAGAGGATGCTGACTACTTTGTCCATAAGCCGCTTAACGAGACAAGACAAATAGTCCGAAGGCCTTCCCTCCCTCACTACTATCCTCCCCAGAAAATAGGATCCACCAGGAGTCGGAGAAGAGGATGGAGAATAATAAAATTCTATATACTTATTAGTAGCACTAGTGGGTCATGAGGTAATGAATATTGGTCACTCTTTCCGTCAACTTTCTCCCCCCATGAATACGGTAGGTAAATGTCGGACCCAGTATAGCTCCATAAATCGTAGAGCGGTGATTTCTGAATGCCTCAAAGCCCTATCAATTCCATTGCACGGACTAATTACTGGCTCAAAGATACTTTTCAAGGCTGAATGAATCCTTATAATACGCCTATTGTCTCTGTTTTCTTGCTGGTGTGCTAGCCTATTGCCACTCTTTCGCTATTTTGAAGTCGATCAGGTGTAGGGAGAATATCTTGAAGTTGAATTCCCGCGATATTGCAGCCCCTGTTTTTTCCGATGTGCTGTGTAAGGCTTGAAGCATGATCGGTAATTCCGTCGATATCTAGGTAGGTATCTTTGAAAGCATTGTGATACGATGGCATTGTATTGCTACTCTTAACTTCTGACATCGTCTTATACTGATTCCTTGCGCTTCGACATCGACCTCCTCTTTCTCGAAAGGCATTTCCTTCTTCTCTTCCAGCCTTTAAGTGCACTAGAATCCGCAGGTCAGCAAACCAAAACCTAATCGTGATCTGAGAAGGGCGTCTACATACGCAGAAGATAGTGCAATCCTATAATCCCGCCGCAACGTCAGCATATTTCGTATCATCGACGGGCTTGAGAAGAGCTGATAGATACGTACTCTGCATGAATTCCCAGATGCATTGCAACCGGTACACTTACCGTTTTCACACACTACGTCGGTGCTCTGTCCCTACCGGTCAGCAAAACTCTTCTCTTCGATAACCGAAGAAGGGAGGAGGAAGGAGGATTGATGTACCTTGCCGCAAGGGTCGATGAGCTCAGAACAGAGGTTATTGGGCTACAATTACGTATAGAGTTAGTTATGACCGTTCAGAAAGTGTAGGAGATAAGCAGTGTATAAGCAAGCTCACTTGGAACTTTAGCTCTTTGCATGTCTCTCGCTTTGTCAAGCCTGGAACTGCTTGCGGAAGCGCGAAGCATGGGGCGATAGTCGCTAGTGTAATAGCGAGGACGGTGAGCTTCATTTTGTAAAAGTACTTGTTCAATAAGATAATAGATAGATGAGTAAGTGAAGTGTTTGAAGTGAGGGATAATAAGATGATCCTCTCTACCGAGGATGGGCATACATACGGCTTTATACTCTTTCGCAAGCGTCACTATGACCCCCTCATCTTTTGAAGATAAAGTTATCCTTTGAGGATAAGTAAGGTAAGGTAAGCAAGGGATTTAAAGTGGAATTTTGAACTTTCGAAGCATCCTCAAGGGTGTAACAACGACGCCGGTACCGTGGTTATCAGCCAGCCTTGCGCAGCCGAAACGTGAACTTACTACCGGTACTACGCAGTAAATAGTACGTAGTAGTACTACTACTACGTTACGTAACTCAAGGTTTTCCGCCTCACTACTGTACAGGCCTACCGGTATACTACGTAGTAGTACTTACTCTCCGTAAGTCTTAAGGGCATAAATCTCCGCTACCAAGCCCTTGATTACTCAACCCTTAGAGTATAATACCTACTTCCGCTTCCCGCTAGTGACGTTCGAAGGAATATACTTTATACTTCTTTACTTACCGTACATTACACTATCTCTTACCGTACATTGTGATAAAAAGGCTCGGTACAGACCACTAATTAGCGCGTGAGCTGAACGATAAAAGAACACTTATTACGTAGTAGTACTAACGATAGTACCACGGTACAGGCGTAGGTACTATTAATTGTTACCGCTTGAGAGTGCCTCAAAAGTTTAGTTTCCACTCTAAGTCTCTTGGTTACCCTATCCGCAAGGGGGCCACAATTACGCCTGGGACGTACGTAGTACCGGTACCGGTAGTACTACGCTAGATAAAGAAAGTCGGTCAAGACACGATCGCGAGTAAAACCCTGCCAGGTAATGTTGTTAACAGGATTGCATTTTGATAACAGCATGATCGTGGGTGGGACTTGACGTTGCAACTTGAAGAGCCCTTAAGGGCCCTTCTTAAGAGTGGGCGAAACAATCATATCTCGCGAAACGATTTGTATCTTGTATCGATTCTTACACAACATTGGATTGCACAGGAATTACATCCTTGAAGAACAATATTTTCCTATTAAATATTTGCTTACGCGCCTCAATAAAAGTCGATCATTTTCGCATGTCGAAATATAATTCATAATATGCTACCGGTATTGTGTTGCTACGTACCTAGTAGTACAATGTCTCGAAAAGTGTCGGAACAATCAATATCTCCCGCAACGCGGACCAAGATCCGAGACCTTTAAAGAGGCCACTGGTCACAACGCAAGTAGGACCCATCGTTTTGGTATTCGAGCTTCACATTTGTCCTTGATGGTCTGGTACTTAAGACGTTATACCTCCTCTCTCCATTCTCCATCGTCTATTTCCCAGTGTTATGTTTTCCGGAGGAATAAACGTGGGCGAATATCCAACCCACGTTCGCTGATCGATATATTCCTCCATATGTTTCTGCCTTATCCTTTTCCGAATCTTCAGCGTGAATTCCGGCGGTGAGGATCTTACGAGTTTCCTTTGACATCTCCTCAGATAAAGCCTCTTTTTTAAACGCTATAGCATAGAAGATATATTCCATAGCGTAAGCATGCTGAATTATCTATTTGCGGGCACGCTGAACTGCGTTGCGATCGGTATCCGAATTCTTCTTCAGATAATGCAAAATGGCGGTTTATTGATAGCCGTCTTTCTCAATGTCAGCAGGCCCTTCCGGGCATTGGCCAGTAAGGATTTCGCGGCAGAGTTCGTTCGTTACTTCGTAGCTCGCGCCAGCGTTTTCGAGGGCGTTGCTAGTGCATATCATCTGTACCACGAAACCAACCAGGTGGTTATGGTAAGTTGAGTTTTCGTCTTTCGGGAGTAAGCCTTGGACGTCCTTGAAAAGCCGAGCGCTTTCATTGAAGACGTCGTCAGGGTCTGGAGTGAAGCGGTTGTAGTCGTAACCGGGACCCATTTGCAGCTTGAATGGTTTCTAGGCTATTTCACTCAAGACTCTGGGGACGTTGAGGCTTTCATATTCTGCGCTATGAATGCCCAATGAGAGCTGGGCTTCGAGAGGTTCGTGGCCGGTCTTTGGATGTTGTTGTTGTGTCATGATAAAATGTTGGAAAGTTCTGGAGGTGGGTGAGCAGTATGGGTGGTATAGCTCGAGCTTCGAGTAAATAATTTACTTGGTGGTTTGAGGTTTTGGTTTCGGAAGAAGTGATTGAATTGTCTAAGGTTCTACGAGGAATCTACGGAATCTCTATATATAGGCCTGGAAACCTGTACTGAAGACGCTGTACCGCGTTTACCTATTAGCCGTATATTACCTGGTCCGCGTATCAATAGCGCCTAACCTGCTGTAGCTACCTAGAGCATCTAAACTGCTGTAGCAGTAGCGTCTATCCCGATGAGCCATATTAGTTGATCGATTATAAAGATAGAATCTGACCTGCTATACTAGCACATACTCCGTAAGGACATGATTGAGGTTTGAATTAGCGGCTGAGCGATAACTCGACGCCAGCATAGCCTGGTCATCTTTGATACTAGTTCCCGAAAGCGATACCTGTGTTCGGTTATCGGAGGCCATCATGCTGGAGAGACAATTCGTATTGCGTTGAAGCAGCTTGGGAACGATATCAAGTAGAATGATGATCCGGGTAGTACCATCTCCCAAACAGATGACAGCCGAGATGCCGTGTAAACAAAATAATTGCGAGAGCACTGTCAGATAACGAGAGCTCTAGTCACCAGTGATTCGTTGATGTATTTGGGCTTCATAGTGACAATAATATAGATGGGGACTATTCCATACCTGCTATCGTCTGGTCAGTGAAGATAGTAAAATATAGAATCAAAGTGAGGTAGACTTGCCAATTCTTAGCGTTGATCGTAACTCGACTCTGACTGTACTCTGTAGGTACTCCGACCGTGGGTACGATTAGTCGAGCGCACGGGCCATAAAATACGCCGCCACCATAATAGGTAGCCTTACCAACATCTGCTCTACGGAGAGTGATTCCCCCACCTGAGACCTCGACAGACGAATAATTACAGCCAGAATGCCGAAAGCAGAGATAGGTTCCACGAAGCATCTGAACAACAAGCTTAAGTCCAAAGGACTGCAGCGCCTACGATGGTACTGTCAAGTGAGTCTCCTCCGCCTCGAAGTCTGGCGCCTCTGCTAACGCCCCCTAGGTCTGCGAGCGCCAAATGCGCGATGAAAATGGCTTTAAGATGCACACGCAGTCCGAAGGACACGTCCGGGCGATGCTCCTCGTCGGTGAAAATTCCAAGAAGTTCATCGCCGGCTACAGCAACGATTTCCAACGGGACTTTCTTCAGCTACTGCGAACATCCCACGGCGAGAAGAGGGTCAATATGAACCATTTCTATCAGGAGTACATTCACAATAAGGAGCATGTGCATATGAACGCGACGAAGTGGCCTTCTTTGACCGAGTTTGCGAAGTTTCTTGGGAGGGAGGGCCTGTGCAGAGTCGAGGATGATGAGAAGGGACTGCACATTGCGTGGATAGATAACTCGCCCGATGCGCTGAGGAGGGCAGATGCTATTCGGAAGAGGGAGAGACTGGATAGGGGTGACGAGGAAAGAGAACAGGCTCAGATTCGCGAGCAAGTTCGGAAGGCGGAATTGGCTGCAGAGGGCAGAGGCAACAACCAGCAGGAGAACGCCGAGAAGGAGCTGAAGCGCCCAGACGTAGGGAAGGTGAAGTTGAGCTTTGGGACAAAACTCACTGCCCCGAAAGCAGAGCCAGTTCCGGAAACAAATGACGGCTCGCCTTCTACAACAAGTGCCCAGGATAGTGGAGGAGTGGACAAGAGCCCCGAGAATGGTATTGAGGCACCTGCAGAGACTGTTGCGCCTACTGCAGCGCCAGCTAAGATTTCTATGAAAATGGGAGCCTCAATCAAGCCTAAGAATGTCTTCGCAGCCGCAAAGAAGAATGCCCTTGGTGGTAAAAAAGCCGCCATTATCGAGCAACCCAAGAAGATGGGCGAAGCCGAGCGCATTATGCGAGAGGAAATGGAGCGCAAGAACAAACGAGGACCGCCTGGATTCGGTCCACCGCAGAAGAAGCAGAGGTTCTAGATATGGGTTTTAGGCAGTTCACAGGCGTCTTTTCTGGGAAGGGAGGTGGGCGCATTTTGCAGGTGCACGAGACATGGCGTTGATTTGATACCATTTGTATTTGGCTATAGTGAACGAATTGTAGATCATCCAGTAACACCTGTAACTCCATTCGCTTTTTCAATCCCCCCATTTCTATGCCGGAAAAGCTTCAAGTTATACTCTGCCGTCCACCAGATCCATGCATGATACTCCTGTCTCTCTCGACGCCCCTCTCAATCTGCTTCCGTAGCACTTCCATCTCTCCTACTCAGCGTCAGCTTATGCTCTCCCAAAGCCACCATCAAATTAGAACAGCACTTACGGAATATACTTAATCCTCGCCTCGTCTTCCATAACGGCCACTACCTCATCAGGCAGCTGCCCACTGACCTTCGTCGCATAGACGCCGCGCACGTAGCCATCCAGTCTCTGCCACTTTGCGACCCAGCTCTTACTCGGATCCGCGAGGGTGATCAGGCCTTCGAAGACCTGAGACGTGCAGTCGATGATGGCGTCCATGGAGCCTTCCAGATGCAGGAACTCCTCGCAGTTGGGGCATCCCTCCTTGAGGAATCGCTGGTTCGCCGTCAGCATGTATATAAATATAGACATACATATAAAGAGAGGGGGGAGGAGACGGACGTTTTGGGTCATTACGATTGAGCAGACCATGCAGGCGCGCAGGTTGCGCTGCTGGTTCGGGGGGACGAAGTTGTCGCTCATATCTTTTATGGCTGTTGTGTGGTCCCTAGTAGGCGTTTGGAAAGGTTCCGTCGGGGTTGCGGAGGTCGTTGAGAATTTGTGTTTTCTCGTCCCGGTTGCTCTTCATTGAGGTCGAGGTTTAGATCGCGAGGCTGAAAGTGTGTATGTGGTCCGTGCTTTGGGGGTCTGTTCCGCCTTTTAGACATTTAATCGGCAACCCTGAACGTCCTTGGCATGGGTTCCAATCAAAATACACACATCAAGTCACCTGACAGTCCTCGCCGCTCCGAAACCCACAATAGAGATTGCATCATGGTATCTGGCTTGTGTAGCTATCCATTGGCCTCTAAAGGCGAATCTATTCTTCTCTAAGCTTGGTTTTTCGTAAAGGTTCTGTACATGTCACAGAGTACTTAAGCGAGTCGACATGAACGTTGGGCTCTCCATTGAGATATCGAGCTTCGATGTCTTTATCCCATCTGTTTTATTCTCACTGCATCATTCCTATTGCTGTCTAGTTGAAGCTCTTTATCAGTCCATGTCAGCTTTGGATTTGAATATCGGATTTTTGATGTCCAGATCGCTTACTGGACATGTTCGGATTTGCGTTGTGACCATCATTGTACGCTTTACTGCATTGTTACTTACTACCTTATTTTATCATCTAGCAATAATTACAGGACTAACCTCTGTCTCGCTTGAATTCATACTTACCTACCTAGGTATGTATTCTATCATTGCCTCTTTTCTCGCTTTACTTATTGCCAAGGAATTGTTGCTTCAGTCACCTCCTACTGCTCCAAAAATCCAGCTTTCGTCGGAAACTCATCAGGTATCCCTGGCTACATTGTTATCAATCCAAAAATTCCAAGGCAACGCCGTACTCGATTTTATTCTACTCGTTGCTTAATATATTGTGGCTTTTAATGCGATGCTGGAGATGGATTGAGGGGTACATGCTCCTCGGCGGGAATGGAGCCCTAGCTGCACCAGAATTTAACTGTACAACATAAACCCTCCTCCGAGTAACATGGCGAGGCTCCCTTGATAGCGAAATCTTTGTCGTATACCCGTTGCCTCCTCGGGCTGCTCCACGCCCTATTCCCGCACTAATATATCCAAGAAGAGGGAGTCTCTTGGAAACAAGGGAGCAGTGTATCCCACGCTTATCCTTGAACAACTTCTTTTGCAACAACTGAGTACTCGTAGGCAATGAAGAATCACCAGTCAGCTATGGCTTGCAAGTGAGGTGGGTAGTTTGTACTTGAATTGAATCAGCCTTCCCAAACTCTTCCTGATGCTTCTTTCTCGTAGAGAAAACCCGGACGCCAGTTCTTCCTCCAAATCGTCTTCACGACGACACTCTGGAAAAGACGGACAGCACAAGAGCCTATGACGAGTCCATTTTGAACCTAGATAACTATTGATCCAAAGAATCAGCCCGCATGCCGTGGCGTGTGTGTTCCACCACAGCACGGGGTTTCGGGCCAAAAGCAGGATTGTGCCCCGATCACGTTTGGTACACTTCCCGCGTTTCGACTTCCGTGACTGGTCACCTAGAAAGCCGAGCTATAATTCTGTGTATGCCCGAGCTTGAGAGACTCCCAATTGATATTTCAGCCCGAAAGTGGAAGATTCGGGATATCGAAGTCGAGGTCCCGTTGGCGGCAAGACGAGGCAGGAACGACCGGGAATGGATATATACCTACCTACCTAGGTATATATAATTACTGACGAGTAGCTGACTTGAGCTTAAAATCTACATCTGAAACTGCGAACGAGGAATCAGTTCTGGTTATGATTCAACAGTCGAAAATGGACAGCCAACCACCCCCGTCAAGAGGCTACGTGGATCCAAACTTCCCTAATCCAAATGGCCCTGGTGACGCATCTGTAATCATATACGGGTATCTTGCGTCTCTCATACCCCACTACAGTTGCTGATTTTCTACAGTTATACACCCAATTTCATCATCTGCATTCTCGGCATCGTCTTCTTCGCCTTCATTTTCTTTGCCCACCTCTTGCAAATCATTATCTACCGGCTCTGGTCCTTCACCCCTCTCGGATTCGCATGTGTAATGGAAGTGATCGGCTACGTATTCAGAGAGCTCTCGTCCCGCAAAGATCCATATCGAGTCAACTTCTTTGTGGTCCAGTACTTCCTCATAGTCACAGCCCCAGTGCTGATCTCAGCGAGCATCTATGTTTGCTTGGCGAAGGTTCTTGGGTGGGCAGCGGATTCCGGCCTGGATCTGAGCGCCAGGAGTGTGTTGTTTCGGAGGACGTTTGCGCTGTCGACCTTCATCACTATCGACGTGCTGAGCACCCTCCTACGTACGTATTCAGGGGAGCATCCTCTATCTCTCTCTTGACGGACCCGAGATTCTTTTAACATGTCTCATTATCTTCCCGAAACATTCACATTACGCCAATTGCTGACTTCCCCGTCATACAGAGGTCGCCGGCGCGAGCATGATCGGGGTTGCCACTTCCAACGGAAAGAATCCGACGACGGCGAATAATATTCTGCTCGCGGGACTTGCGGTCCAGACTGCCGCATTCTTCGTGTTTCTGGGTCTCCTCGCCTTTGCTACTGCAGCGATTTACCGCGATCGGAGGGTAGCACGGAAGGCGAAGAGAAGCCCTTTCCTTGGAGTGCTAGTAGTTGCCAGTGTGTTGATATTTGTGCGGACTATCTTCAGGTTGGCCGAGACGGCTCAGGGAGTCTTTGGGTATCTGAGTAGTGACGAGAGGTACTTTGCAGTGTTAGAGTTCGTCCCAGTCGTGCTGGCTGCGGGGATTCTGGCAGTATGGTTCCCGGGCCGATGGCCGACTGCACGTAGGAGGAGGGGGGGAAATGAAAGCAGACAGCTTGTTTGAACGGGTGATTAGAAGTGATATTGATTGTGGGCCAAGGCAAACATACTAGTCGCTATTCCTGCACTGTTTACTTCTCGGATTACAACGCAAGGAGAATCTGGCACCGCTTCAGCCCGACGTGGTATGCAAAGCTCCAGTGAACCCAACCTGCCCGGTGATCTTTATTACATAGCTTTAGGAGGAAACCCCATCAACAGCGAGAGAATCACCAGAGGCTCATCCCTCACCTCTTCCGAACGCAGCCCGTCCCTCGCCATAAAAATAAAAAACCTCAGTAAATCCCCTCTCAGCCATATGGGAACTCCCTCCCCTCCCCCATCAACGCAACAACCAGTCCATCCATCAACCTCCTCAAAGCCGAGAGATACTCACAAATGGTCTTTCCCATCCAGCCTCCCTTCAAGATTCCGTCCTCCGCTCCTTCCTCATCCGCGTTTATGATGTTCGGCGAACATGGATCTCCCCCCACCCCCGCTTGGACGAGACGGGACGTCAAGCGAATTGCGATAGCGATAACGAGTGCCAAAATCGTGCCCCCCCCCCCCCCTGCCGCCGCCTAGCAAAGCTATATATATACCTTTCTTTCGCCCACGCGGACATGTCAGCACGGCGAGACGGCTCCTTTAGCTCAGTGGTAGAGCGGGCGATTGCAGCTGCACACAGCAAGCAACTCATCGCCAGGTCGATTGTTCGATCCAGTCAGGGAGCTTAAATCGCGGATGCTGGGTTTGTCTTTTGCTTTTGCTTGTTTTCTTTTTGGGGGGGAGGAGGGGAGGAGGGGAGGGGGCGACAAACTAATTCTCCGGGGCTCCTCCTCCGTCCATAGGTCGGTAATCTATACTGTGGGGAGGATTATCACTCACTCACTCACTCACTCGGCTGCTGCGCTTGCTGCTTGCTGGCTTTTCCCAGCAGCCGAGGCGAGGCGAGGCATGCGATGCGATAAGATGCGATGCGCACCCGCTCGCTCATACCTATATCTACCGTACCTACCTACCTACTACCTATGTACTAGCAGTGCATATATAATATACCAGACAGGCTGCCACTGCCTCCCTCCAACCTCACTTTCTAAACCCACAGCACGCATGGTTTTGTTTTTGCTCATTCCCTATTCCGTATTGCCTGCCATGTTTCCTCCCTGTTTGTCCATTGCCTAAATCCCATTGCCTAAATCCCATTGCGCAATCGATCCTCTTCTTCCCCACATCTCGGACGTCACCAGCTGGAAAAAGGTCGCCCGACTGACCGGGCTGAAAGTGAAAGACTGCTCGCTGTCTTGAACCAAGAAGAAAAAGAAGAAAAAGCTGTCGCTTTCGCGCCTCCGGCCATCGATCACTGATGGACTGACTGTTTCGAGACTTGGCTTCGGCGGAGTATGAGCTCGGGGTTTGGGTTTAGGGTAAGGGTGAGGGCGAGGGTGAGGTCGACCGATGACGGGTTCGGGGGGGGGGGGGGGGGGGGTTGAAATAAAGAAAAAAAAAAACACACTCCATCTATTATCTATCTACGTACAGCGAACTATCGAATTGCCTTGCGATGATTAAGTCTCGGTGAAGGAGATTAACTTGGCATATATTTACTTTACGATTGAATGTATAACAAAAGGAGGAATGTGTGAGCTAGTATCAGAAAACAAATAATCAATCAATCAAAACGTCGATATCGATTCCCCAGCCCAAGAAAGGATAGATAGATAGTGTTCAATTAGCGGTGTCTGTCTGGGCTTCAGACTGTCGGAGGCTCTAATCTCACCAACATGCAGGTAGACGCGACGACCATGGGTGAAATCCGTTCCCTATTCAACACAGGATTCGAAATCTCCCCGACAGTTGGTTGTTGGTAAGAAGGTAGAGTTCTTCTGAATTTCGGACATTCACTGACATCGAATGGATCGTCGTCTTTTCTTAGACAGCCTTTGCATTGAGCGCGGCAGCATGTGCAGTCACCTAAGAAGGGAAGAAAATCAGTCATGCTCACTCAAGAAAAAGCGTAACAGCAGCAGCAGAGAGAGTGTGGATTGGGACGGACCAGAGTCGCGTAATCAGCCGAGCCGTAATAGATAGCATGGCCGTCGTCGTGAGTGGCCCCGGTAGAGAGCGTATCGCCGTACTGCCAGTACAACTCGCCCGCCGTCCAACTGCTATCGAGGACCGCAGCTTGCCAGGGCAGCATGACGGACTTCGCGCTGTTCGTCGTCCCGTACTCTTCTAAGATGACGGGCTTGCCGACTGCCGCTGCAGCCGTGGCGTGGGTCAGGATCCAAGAAGGGACCCAGTCGTCGGTCTCGGCCCACGATCCCGGGTAGGCGTGATAGGTGCCGAAGTCGATGGTCGGGATGGCGAGGTTGGCGGTGAAGTTGAGACCTTCGCCCGCGGAGTAGGGGTAGCTTGTATCGGTGCCCCCGTTGAGCCCGAAGCCCTCGTCGCCGATGCAGACCATGTGGTTTGAGTCCAGGGACTTGATGTAGGCGGACGTTGAGGCGATCCAGTTTGTCAGGATGCTTGACGGGCACGAGTTGCAGCGCGGCTCATTGGCGAGTTCCCAAGCGAAGACTGCTGTGGAGGTCTTGTAGCGCGCAACGACGGCGGCAACTTTGACCGGTGAAGTCAGCCTTGGCCATAGACAAATGGTGTGGGCAAGGCATTTAGCAACGTTTCAGAGACAGATCTTCAGACTGTCCCGGGAAAGGGAGAGAAAAAAACGTCATTCGGCATCTTACTATATTTCTGATACTGGGCCTGCGCAGCTGCGTTGGTGTACCAAGCTGTGTTGGTGATCCCGTAGTATGAAGCATATGCCGGAATCCCACCATAGTCGGACCAGTTATTCACAAAGTTGATGATCAAGCTGATGCCATGGGCTTCTGCCGATTGGACAACGTAGTCCAGGCGCTGAAGGCCATTGGGACCTGTGTTGATCACAGGAGCCTGCCCAGACACGAACGATTGGTACCAGACAGTGTCGCCGGTTGGAACAGTGGTAACATCGTTAAACCCCCAGACGCGGAGTACTTTGAGACCGGTCGAAGCTAGGTGGGACATGATTAGGTCCACATCCGCGGAATTAGTGAGAAATCCTGAGAGCGGCAGGTCAGCAAACGATCGCTGTAGCAGTCTGAGGGACGAAATTCCCCTGAAACACCCGAGAGAAGAGAATTGCCTGCTGCCCGGACACTGACCTATGTAGTATGTATTGGTGCCCATAAAATATGTCTTTGGATGAAGTCAGTATATTCCCCTGACGAATGTTCCAAGAACTGATCTGACGACGCCTCAGGGTCAGATCCCCAGGCTGGGTGGAAAGGGTAAATTTCTTAAGTCTCCAATCCCTTACTTTTTTTCCATTGATAGTGAAGACACCCCCACTGGCTTTCGCATAGCGGGGGATACTGGTTGACTTAGCCACGGCACTCGAAGACGTGGATGACTTTGAGGTGGTTCTAACTGCCGTAGAAATCTTCGTCGTAGAAGCTGTGAACGTCGATCTTACAGAAGTTGACACTTTCGTAGATGTGCTGGAAGCGCCAGCTAAGTCATGATTTAGTAATCTGCACTCAAATATCCATCTTGAGCAGAGTACATACCGGTCCCAGGTACACATTGACTGTAGAAGGGGTTCTGGACGACGCATGCGTATCCCGTCACACATGTAGTCAGTCCAGTCCAACCAGCACCTCCACCTGTAAATTGTCAACATGGAGTAGTAGCCCGAGAAACTCAAGGAAATTTTTACATTGAAGATATGCTCCCTGCTGTGCAATCACCGGAGCAGCCGCGAGTAAAAGAGACAGCTTCATCTTGCCAGGAAGTGGTCTTGTCTAGATAGTGGCTGTAATGATTGGAAAGGGAGAAACCAACGAGCCATAGGGATTGGAGATGTTGTTCTTCATCAGGATGGAAGAGAAACCCCGTCGGTGTTGGGATCACTTAGGTAGGTGATTAAAAGTATGTGTGTACACACTGATGAATCGGGTGAATAGGTACCGGTATTTATGTTGATGATTGAATTGATTGATGATCTGTTCTGAGAGATCAAAGTTCGTATGAAAGGTTGATGTGCTGGCCAAGCCTCGAGCACACGATCCCGTGATCGGTAAGCGATCATGGGGTTCCTACTCCAACAGTCGGGCCGCCATCACGCCTCAGCTTGATCGATCAAAAGTTTGTGTGCCAATCGCCTCTCACTCGATGCCACTGGCTAATTTCTTGCTGGACGGGTGTTCCCTCTCATCCGAGGAGGAGATAATTGAGGAGTAATGAGAGTAACAGGTCCCTTTAGTCAAGAACATACACCTTTCGCAATACCACGGTAGGTCTACTGGGCAGTGAGTCTTCCAAATCTCGGAGTTGTCGGTACAAGCGGGAAAGCCCCCCAGGTTCTCGATCCAAAGGGGATCAAGGTATCTGGAGAGCCTCTCCCGCTTTCATAAGGGGTCTGGGTTACAGGGCTTTCTGACGCCGTGGAAGGGAATCTTCCGTTCCGAAAAGGGAAGGACATTACCCTTGTATCCGCCACGGCCCTCGTAGCCATATTGCTTGCATCAGAGAGTGACAAGTCTTCTTTCTACCATTTGAAAGCATTTCCCAAGGTCTCAGAGATGGGTTTGTCAATATTCGAGGATGACGAGTGGGAAGATGACAGCTGTGTGTTGTTTCAATGCCAAGAGATTGGCGAGAGTCCAGCACATGAGCTACACTACTACTCGTAGCGCTGACAGCGGCCCAGCTGCAAAGTGATCCCTTTTGTCACCCGTCTATCCCAACTCGCCAACATCCATCATCATCTCAACCGCATCTCTTGAAATGTTGTTCTGAGTGAGCAAGGTTCAGTAAGCAAAGTGCGTCGCTCTCCAGGCTCTGATGGAGGCAAATATCAAGTACGAAACTTAGTGTGAAGAAACGAGCGGCAAGGTTTGATCGAAAAAAGACTATATATGTAGTCATTGGCGTGAAGAGAGGTGAAGATTAAACGACGTTGAGAAAATCGGTGTATGGATGTATTGCCATCAAGAGGCGAAGATGGCTATCAAAATCCAGTAGCTCCTATGTTTGGAGAACAGCACAAACTAGATTATCGAATACATGGTCCAGAAGCCTTGAAAGATTGAAAGACCCCGTCATATCGTTATGTCCAAAATTGAACAATTGCTGCTCCCGTTACCTTGCAGGTTATCCATCGAGACATCTACTGATGGCTGTAACCTGTATAACCCCTTTCATCACTGGGGCTTCGTCTCGAGGATAGCGTTGGATTCATCTTTCAGGCGTTCCTCGGTTGTCTGGAAAACTGCCGGGATACCTGTCTCTTCAAACCCACACCCGTCGCGGATCATTTTGGCAAGTCCCTTGGTAGAGAGCAGAATCAATGGCATACCATGCCCGTTGAAACCCGCGCAGATGTACTGGTTGGGTTTATTGGGAATTGCTCCGATGTGTGGCATCAGATCCGAAGTGTACTGGTTTTTGTGAGCCAGGAAATCTTCTCTTCGGGACACGATGTAGTCATACTCCCATGATTCCAGTCCAGGCCCGATCAAGCTGTGCACCAGAGTCCTTCCAACCCCGATACGTTTTTTGCATCATGTCGTTCCTGAAATACTCAACTGCTGGCTCGATCAGCGTAGCATCATCGGTGACATTATACCATTGGCTCAGGTCCTCGGAGAATGTATGGCGGGCGCCTCCGACGATTATGCTGCCATCAGTGCGCGGGATTTGGTAGTCATAGAGCCCAGGTCCGTGTCTCACGCTATGCGTGTTGGGAAGATACGGAACTGTTGTTCCCTCTGGGGTCTTTATTCTGGTACAGATGCCTCGGGATGGGACAATTTTGCTCGAATATTCAGGCGCCAGTGAAGAGGTGTAGGCGTTGGTCGCTAGAACAATGGTCTTGGCAAATATGGTGCCGCGCTGCGTTTTGATAGAGGAGTAGCCATCTTCCAATGAAGAGTCCGAGATGTTCAACACGGCAGTCTTCGTTTGTAGGTTGACTCCTCGATCAACGGCACGTTGAAGGAGATGCATTACTAGCTTATACGGCCAGATATGACCGGCAGTGAAACTGAATGCAGCTTTAGCTCCAATCACACCGGAAAGAGCTTCGGCGTCCTTCCCAGCAGCATATTGTACGTCTCTTGTCGACGGCTCGCCGGCTGCAACCAGTTCGTCAAACTCGGCTTTACACTTGTCCGCATGCGCCTGATCCAAGCAAGTGTCTACTGCTCTCGTCAATTGAAAATCGCAGTCGATCTTCTCTTTCTCCACTAGTTCCTTGACTGCATAGACTTGAGAAGACTCGAATTTAGAAATCTCAGTTGCCATCTTATCGCCGTACATTTTCTTGTACTTTGGGACTAGGACGCTGTCAAATCTCAACGGTAGTGTGTGGGTTTGATCTTTGATCCGGGGACTTACTGTTGAAGTAGACGTCCGGCTTCAAGTGGCCTCCTATGATTTGAAACAGTCAGCCCAATCCTTGTTTGGTCTGGCGACTTTGACCAAATCCGTGGAAGCTCTGATGCCGAGATGGTCCACTTGATCTGAGCATGAGGTCGCCCTGGCTCCAACAATCGTACAAGCACGTCTCAAGTAGTATCTACAGGTATTTGAGTCATTCCACAGCTGGGGGGCCGACCTGACAATCAAAATCAGAAAAGAAACAGGAGCTCACGTACCATTTCTCCCCGAAGCCCCCGAGCAAGCCTCACGGGCCTCCAGGATGACTATCGATGGCCCAGCAGCATCGTTCCCGTCAAGCAAATGATGAGCTAGCGAGGCCCCAGTATATCCAGCTCCTATGATGGCAATCTCGCAGTGCTGTGGCAGCTCTGGTGTACTCCGGTGGGAATCGAGAGGGTGGAGCTCTGTCCGCCAAAATGGCACCGACGGGTTTGCGACCGGATACGGGAACGGTGGGTTCTCAACCGAAGAAGTGGGTGACAATATTTTTGCTACCGCTGCCAGTCGGGCCTTTGCATTTGCATTTGCATTCGCATGGCTGGATGCTGTCATCTTGTGCTCTCACGTGAGTGTGAACCCGAAATGACTTGGTCTAAGAAGGTATCAATCAGTTAACAAAAAATTTCAGCTGGACCACGGTGATAGTAAAAAGGCACGTCGGATATCCTCTTGAGACGGTCACCCAGAGAGTGGTTTACGGCTATCTCGCTCTTTATGTAGCTACAAGCAAACCTCCTTCGGCCCTGATAAGATAAAAAAACATTACTCCGAAGATGACGGAGCTCCGCGGATGAAGGAAGCCTGAAGATAAGCGAGCTCCGTGGCGTTGGGAAAGGCGCCAACAACACACCCGTCGCCTAACCTATCTTGAAACGGTCTTCTGAACCGTTGATTTACTTCTCGGTTAAGTGGATTTATATATCTCAACCTTCCTATAATTAGAGTCGTAATAGAAATATATATATATATGAATCTGTCGTATAAGCTATATCCTGATATTCTCCAGCCCACCCAGCCAAGCCCTTTCTATCTAGCTACATAAATAAACCCCTTAATTCTGACATTAATCATCTAGCATTATGCATTACCCATTGAACTCAGAGAAGCCTCTTCTTTCCTGCTCGTACATGGGGACGCGCCAGCGCCTTTCCGCGAATCCAGAAGCACGTCTTTGGTAGACTTACGCAGAGACCCAGAGCCAACTGCCCAAGTCCCGGGACGTGATACCCCCTACATCGAGACTTTCCGAGCCCCTTTCCGTGAGGGTGCAAAACCTCCCTCCTTCGCGAAGTGAATCCCCCCTCTCCTGCACCGTGCCTCAGTGAGGCGTCGTCGTCAAGATTTATATTCGCCGGCATCCATTTTATGGGTGTGGTTGTGTGTCATCTCTATTCATGAGAGAAGTCCCCTCACACCATGATCCACTCCCCATCAGACCCCTCCATATACCTGCTCCAGCGAAACGGCGTCCCGAAATCCCCGTTTCTCTTCATGCCCTCGTTCTCCGCCCACAACTTCTCCAGTACCTCCTGGCCCGCAAGATTATTAAGGTACCCGCTGCGCCCCATAATCTCCCGACACTTGGTGCGCACGATACCCTGCTGTAGCTCGTTCACACACTCGCTCCCACTGATGAACAAGGGCCACAACAAGAATTTCTCCGCGCCACTCCCCTGCTCCAGACTCGTGACGTAATATAGTACTTGCGAGACGAGGTTTTGGAGGTTGAGATGCGACGAGGGTATGTTAGGACAGGCGAGGCGCTCGGTATACAATAGAGCGGCGTAGCGGAATGCCTCTGAGATGTATCCGAGGTCGCGGAGTTGCGTTGGAGAAGGTGTGACGGGCAGGGTAGCGACGAGGCGGATAGGGTCGAATTCCCAGTTTTGCAAAGCGAGACGAGCAGCTTTCCACTCGGCCCAGAATGTAGTGCGCATGCCGTCGTGGGACGATGTTGATGCGAGAGCTGAGAAGGAGGCATCGTCGTCGAGAGTGGAAGCGAAGCCGTTACCGTCGAAGTTGTGCGCGTGGAGGTTGTAGAAGTCGGCTAGGGCTTGACCGGCCAAGCCAGGTCGCGGGCGTGGGAGAATTGGGCGGCGGGGTTCCATATCAAAGGAGTCGGCATGGAGATCGAGGACTGGGCGGTGTTGAGAGAGCATGTTGAGGCGGCCGAGCTTGCCGATGACTTTGAAGAGCACGGAATCGCAGCCGGCGAAGTTCTCGAGGGCGTGGTTGGGGTGCACGGGGTTGGCGATCATCTCGAGGTAGCCGCCTCGGAGTTGGGCTTCACGATTATTGATGCTGGCTGAAATCCCGTCGTAGAACGTGAAGAGGGTTTCCATCCAGCCCCAATTCCCAGTCTCGACGCCCGAGTCACGCATGCCAAGAATCTTCTTGACACCTGCGAACTGGGTTCGGAACTGGGCGATGCCGGATTCGCACATGCGGTAGTGGCAAAGGATGAAGAGTGTAGCAAGGACGCAATCATGTCGAGCCTTGTGCGGGTCGCTGAGTTGCTGGTTGAGGAGATGGACTGCTAATGTTCTGTGTTGGTGCTCCTCATAAACCGACGAGTCTGAGGGCGGAGGAGTATTGGGGGACAAGGGGTGGTTTGACGACCTTTGAACAGGCACAGGACGCGAGCCACCGCTGATCCAGTCTTGAAATTCGAGTTCCAGGGGTGCTAGTCGCCAGTGATCCTGGCCTAACGATTGTTTTCGCTTCATGCGAAGATTGCAAGCTGCAAGAGCACAGATCGCATGTTGCAAGCTCTTGCTGGTAGCAGCGAGGGCGAGAATCTGTTCTCGGTAAGGGTTCTCGGGGCTGTCGATGAAAACGACCGACGGGCAGATGATCTTCTCGTAGTAATCCAGGAAGAAGGACACCCGAGGAGACATTTCCGAAGAGTAAGAGGAAGACCTGGATTCGTGACCCAGGTTGTATGGGTCTGTTTCCGAAGCGGTTTGAGAACGAGCATCATCATCACTGACTGAAGTCCAGCCAAAGTGACTTGCTCGAGCACTGGTAGCGTACATGTCGCATTCTGACGCAGGCATGGACCCTTAGAAACCAGTCAGTTGGTGCCAGCGAGAGAGGCTGAGGCCAACTTACCGAGCATATCGTCGTCGTAGAAGAGACCTCGGGCGCCGGGGGGTGACTGCTGCTGACGATTCTCGATCACATCGTAGTGATTCTGGTGAGAACTGATGCTCGAGCTGATCTCCGACGAGGCGTAGTAGTGTTCCGGACACGAAGTTGGACCACGTGAATCAGCCATGAAACCCGCAGCCGGACTGTCTGTAACCGAGTTCCTCGAAGAGTAGTTGTTGTTGTTGTTGTTGTACATCGTGATCGGGCTGTGCATGTATGAGGCGTCGTCGGGGAAGGACTGGCTGATGGGAGAAGGAGCATAATCGTCGCTCTCAGCGTAGGATGTGCTGAGCGAGTCGATGGAGCTTCCCAGCCCGATAGCATCGGCTCTCCCTAAGCTGAAGGTGTGCAGTCGATGCAGTTGCGGCAGTTGTCTCTGATGGCTCATACCTTCCTGGTGGTGGTGGTGGTTGTGGTGGTGGTTTTGTTGGTGGTAATCCGGGAGCGGGTGATACTCGTGAGAGACAGCCAGGTTCCATTCGGGCATGCGGTCGTGGTGATCGTGATGTTCCTGGTGGTCCTGGTACTCGTGGTGTATTGGAGGACTCACCCCCTGGGGGGCCATGTTGACAAAGTCATACGTCGTGTACGGGCTGGCGGGGATGGAAGCCCGAGACGACGGCTCCTCTCTCTTGATCTTGACCTCGTCGCCCTCGAGGGCTTTGGATCCACTGGCATGGGAAATCCTTCGTGGTCGGTTCGGCGTCGGCGGGCTCCTGGGCGCGGGAGCGGACCTGGCCACGGGCAGAGACAGGCCGCGGAGTTTTCCTCGACTTGCGACCCCAACCCCCCACGTCAACTGGGTTTTGTATCCTGAACATTCCTTCCCGACCTCCAGACAGGGCGAGCAGTAGGGTCTCCTGCGATCGCATTTGACGTTTCTCTTGGTGCAGGCGAAGCAGTCGTCCAAGGCACCACTCGCCGGCGCTCGACGACGTCGCTTGCGCTGTGGAAGCGTAGGCGGTTCAGAAGAGCAAGCAGACAGAGGAGGACAGGCGACCGGTAGAGTCATGATGGTGTATGGTGTGAGATGATCAGGTATAGAGAATTTACCGGTAGTCTCGAACTGGGATGAGTAGAGGTAGAATGGTAGTAGAGTTTTGTTGAAGTATCCGATAGTCAATTAGTTAGTTGTCAAGGTAGAAAGAAGTATGTACGGAGCAAGACATTGGGGCAAGCTATGCATCCGAAGATGAATGTAGATACCGGTAGATACTGGAGATGTAAAGTATGTATACAAGGACTCGACCTCTGAGGTGGGCACTGGCATCCATTATGAGGAAGGCGGCGGGTTTTTTCAAACTAGTGGCGAGGCCAGGCAGGACCAGGGCAATCTGGGAGTGGGGATGGGGGGAGATATGGGAGGGATATGGGAGGGATACGAAGTATAGGTTGTAGTTGTACTATGTGAGGGTGGATGCAAGCAAGGACAAGGTTTCAGGGGACGGGGGGAGGGGGGAGGGGGAGGGGGAGGGGGAGGGGAAACTCAGGAGGAGACTGCATGGAGAAGAACAGCCTTTGGGGAGAGAAAGGATGATCTGGATAGTGGATAATGGATACTGGATCAAAAGATAACAGATAATGGACAACAGATGATGGATAACAGACAATGGAAACTCGAAACTCGAAACTCGATACTCGATATGTGGAAGTAGAAGAAGTACAACAAAGTATTCATCTCTGTCTCTATCCGGCCTGGTGGAAAGGATGGATGCGACGAGAGAAAACGTGGAAACGTGGAAACGTGGAAACATGGAAACATGGAAACATGCAAAGAAAAGAGCCGATAGATCACATGACCGACGGCTGCATCGGAGTAGCCAAGAGAGAGAAAGGCAAGGATAAGAGTCAGGATACAGCTGTACGGAGTAAGAAGTGTAAGGATAAGGGTAGATAAGGGGGTGGAGTAAGGATGAGGGTAAGGATCCCTACTCCGTACGTACTACTATGTACTATGTACGTGCAAGGGCTTTTGCCTTTTGCAGCCGAGGCCTGCTCTTCTCCGTCCGTGACATGTTATGGTAGAGGTATAGTAGATAGTCGTCGGTAATGTACGTAGTAGTACTTCCTGAGCCTGAGAGACGATCTCCGTATGATTTCTGTAGGGATGTAGCAGGATCCCCTTATAGACCTTCCGGCCTCCCGGCATGGAGTGAGTTTTGGTTCCGGAGTGCCTGTTGACGGGTGGATGGATAATGAGGCGCTGCTCGCTACGAACTGTTTGCAGAGTCCGTCCGTGTGTCAAGCAAGCGCCGTGGGTGAGTAGCTACTAGTAGTAGTACGTAGTACTTGGGATGGGTGAGCGAGTCCACCCGTAGAGAGATCAGGTGAGTTACCTTAGTCTCCAAGCGAAGCGAGGAGTCTATTTACTTCTACAAGTATATCCGCGGCCTTATACAGTAGGGGTAGAGGGACAGGACTCCGTACTCGGTCGTTTTCCAAACTCCCCCGGAAACGTACGTACAGATGATGAAAATCGTCAACTATCGCTATCGCTACCGCTACGTCGAAGGAAGTTGGTTCGTTGATTTCCCTCGGCCGAGGCCTTCCGTTCCCCTCTCGAGCCGTGCCGTCTCTTCTCCTGGGCCTGCGCCAGATGTGATGGATGTCTTGCAGGAAACAGAAAGATCACGCAGGAGCAAGAGAACAATATGATCACAGACATCAGATCCCACTGCGATTCGCCGCACCATCTCTTCTCAGCCAGGCACTCCGATTGATGCCTGCATCCACCAGTCCCTCACGGGGCAAAAAGCGGAAGCGTTGGCTGTACTTCCGTCGATGAGGACGGGATGGCGCAAACGGTGTCGTTAAGCTTAACTCAAACCAACCATCTCGCCCACAGGCACTCTACTACCATAACTATACTTGCTCTCCTTGTGGTTCATTGGCGCCGTCCTGACCATCGTCTGCCTCCATCCCCCTCGCTTCTCCAGATGACGAGATTCGAATTTCTCTGATGTCTCTCTTTACCTGTACAACGTATGTTCTGCCTTGTGAAAATGGTTTCATTCACTCCTAGTCGTAGTCGTACTTCTCTGACGGGACCATTTAATTTGATTCGTCGGGAGCTGTCCAACAGAAAGTGTCCGGGGTGAGATACCTAAGTAAGCCCGTCGATTCCACTGCACTCGAAAAGTCAAATCAACAACAGTCTGGAAAATACCCAACGCTAGCCTTTTAACCTTTACCGTAACTTACTCCGTAATTTCTTATTTTCCCCGGCTACTCTAGTACTACTGCACTGCTACGTAGCTACTGTAGTTGTACCATCCTTTTACTCATGTCCCCGCCGAAACACCTGCCGCTGCAAGCGAAAGAAAGATGCCATCGCGACTAGGTAATGCAATCTGCAATACCTAACGAAGCGTCTTCTTACTTAGCCCTTCCCTTCGGTCCGTCCCTCCGCGCCCCCCCCATATCTCAAAAGGCCATGCCATGCGACCTGGAAGCTTATACCACAGCCCGCAGGCCGTATATAGCTAAGTAGCCTACCTATTTATAGGACTTCTTCTAATATAAAAAAGAAATACTCGGGACATCTGCGAAGCGTAGTTTACTGTAGCGCGCGGCTTGGAAATCTGCATCGGAAATGAGATAAGATGAATAGGTTGGTCGGGTCAGACAGTCAGACTCAGTCAATCAGACACAGTCCGTCAGGCAGTCGGCAACGGGGGGGGGGGGGGGGGGGCAACACGAGATGGATGTGTAAAAGCGCAGAGGCTGAAGTGAAAGAACGGATTGGATATAGGTCCTTGCTCTGTCCAGCTCGGTACTACTTGCTGTAAATCATAGCCAAGGAGAAGACAAGGCGCGGTAATGCCGAGTGCGAATGCTTGTTCTCTCCTCCGACGCAGACAAGCTTGACAGCTGGGAGACCGGAATCCGTCCGGCACGGCAGCGGGGGAGACGGTGAGCGGCGAGTAAGTTGTACTCTACGTTCTACTAGTACTATACTTACCGGTAGTTGGACAGGGAAATCCTTTGATCAAGATCAAGATTCTCAGACCTTAAGTAAGATCATACTCTGTACACAAGACACACAGACACATAGAAGTAAACACACAGACACACATTCTGCATTGACCAGCTGGACGACCTTCACCAACGAGACAGGCTGGCACGCCGTCGACTCTCTCCTCTTCGCCTCCTCGCCTCCTCGCCACCCCGCCTTTTTCCGTCTCTTCCCGTCTTTTCCCGTCAGACGCCGGGCCACGATGCTATAGGTTCGACGGTTCGACCGTTCGACAATTCGACCGTTCGACGACGCCGATGCGGCACGTTTGAACGTTGTGCGCCGACAGGATAAGAATTGGGATCAGGATTAGTAGTACTTGGTACTATGATCAAGATCCACCTTCTTCCCTAACTACTACTTACGAACTCACTCAGGTTCAATTAACTGACATTGACACTGGCACTGGCCCTGACAGTTCTGTCCCGGCTCGTGGCGCCGCTTACCTCCATATTACACTCTATACGAAGAGTAGTTGCTAGAGGCTTCAACAACATTGCCAGGATCGCCATCGCCATCACCGTCACCATCACCATCACCAACCTCAACCTCCTCTCCAGTGTTCGGGACTGACCAGAAAGCCGTGGCATGATAGCATCACATGCGACATCCAAGCCAAAACTACTCCGTATTTCGTAAAGTGCCACTATTCAGGGCACTTCTTCGGCGCGTGCGATTCGCACGCGGCACACGGTTCGTGCTGTCCTGTATAGCGCGTATAGCGCGTATAGCACGTATAGCACGTATAGCACGTATTATATCTGTGATCCTTGCCGGCTTCACAAGGGCCGCTTGCCACAACTTAGGTAGTACTTGTTGTACAGTACTTGTTGTACAAGCAAGCCACTCACTACTGTAAGCCACGGAAAGATGCATCAAAGGGCTGGCCGCAAGTCTCCGTGGAAGCCGCCGAACAAGCACGGAAGCCAGACTGTCTCATCCAGCCATCCAGCCATCCAGCCATCCACTGGTGCTTGATAGTTGTACAACCATCCTGACTCCTGACTCCTCACCCGATTAATCCGCGCCGCATACCGTATCCCCTCGATAAGTGCAGCCCAATCATGCCCTCTGGTCCAAGTCAGCCAGGCCCCTTATTGCCGCCGAGTATTCCTGCTTTGTGGAGGCATAACAGACTCACGTTAAGAGTACCTACAGGCAGCCTCAACCACCTCGCCCTGAAACACCGCACCAAGGTGATCGGCCAAGCCTGGAGCCGTTCGGAATAAAAAAAAGTATATTCATATTCCCATACTTTCCGATAAACTCTGCAATTCTTTCTCGGCATGTGTGCTCCCCCACAGAAAAAAAGGTACTGTAAGTGTAGTATCTGAAGGGGCTCTTCAATAAAGTATAAATCGAGTCGAGATCTCACAACACGAACTCCCGGGTTCAACGCACGTACTCCTCCAGTCTCTAGGCAGGGCGAGACACCGAATGAACCGACGTACTCGCGACGGCTTGCCTCTTGTCCGAGGGTTGACTTCGACCCTCAAGTACCATAGCCTCGCATAGGTACCATACCAAAATTAAGGTAAGGTAGGCTATAGTAGGGTCGTAGCTGCGGGTTCGTGGAGGCAAATTGTCGACAGCCCAATCGCACTTGTATATTGATACTTACCGGGCAATTACCGATGGATCAGAGTGGCAACACCAATGCATTCATTCATGGACAGAGCCGTCTGTCTGCTTTCGGCACATGTCCGGCGCTGCGTGCCCAGTAATCAATCACCTCAAGGTGGCACTTGGCCCAGTTGCCAGGCTCTTACCGCTGAGCAAGAAGATCATGTGTAAGCGGACATGATCAATCTGTTGTTATATTACTCTTGTTATTGTTGTTGCTGTCAACCATACTATACCATGCCTGAGCGAAGATGCGATTTGATTTGATTCTTTTGGGGGGGAGGAGGGGGAGGTTCGCGTTCGCTTTCGCACCCCCAGTATCGTCCGTACTTCCGTACTTCCGTACTTCCGTACAGAACGGGATATCGTCTCATCTCGGGTCATCCGAAAGCTCATTCTCTGCTCAAGACTTTGCGAAGCTTGATCGCTTACACTGACTTTCATCTGCAGGTACCTACAACTACCTACGACTACAACTTCAACTACAACCATCATCGGTGATCACAACATCTCACCGGGCCGGGTTCATGATTAGTATAGAACCAGAAAGCCCGGGGAGGGGGCGAGTGGAACCAAATACAAGTGCTCTGTCTGCACAACTAACGTGGGCCTGATCGACTGACTCCAAGTTCCTGGAGTACATCCCCCGAAGTTGTGTTGATCCGTACTCCATAGTACTAGTACAGTAGATGCAGACGCAGATGTACTACTACTACCTAGATGCAGACTCTAGACACTTTGCTCTGTATGTAGTATTGCCGAGAGCCGTACCTGAGTTTGCCAATTAAGTAGAGGCTAGAGCGGGTATCTTGGACGACCCGCACGAGGTGAAGGGAAGATGAGAACCCTTGCCGGCTGGGCGGTGCGGATCAGAAGAGATTGGTTCCCTCTTTTTTTCCCCTCTTTTATATGGTTATGAGACCAGTCTTGTGGTATGAGTTGGCTGTTGGGATTTACGCCCCGTACTCTCGTTCCTCCAGCTGGAACACTGGCTGAGCCGACTGATATGATTGATGTCTTGATATACCCCGAGAACGGCTTATCTTGGTACGCAGCAGGGTCTCCTCCGCGTCCAGCTTTTTGAGTCCTATTCGTCTTAGCTCGGACCTCCTTCCTTTGGTCCTCCCCCATCATCTATCTGTACAGAGTAGAAAGAAAATCACGATCCACTCACGTGCCAAATGCTCACGTGGAGATAAACAACCAATGAACATTAGCTTATTTCTTATCGGCCAGGCGCAGAAAAAAAATATCTCCAGAATAAATCATTGACCTCGAAGTGCTGTACGTGCGTCCAACCCACTGAACCCCAATCCGCATCCACAACCGCAACCGCAAGCATGGGCCGCGAACTCCAGAAAAAGAAGAAGAGGTCTTCGATCCCAAAGATCAAGATGAAGCCGAAAAGCAAGCGCGTCAACCCCCTCGGCAACCCCATCATCGCTGCGAACTGGTCCGTCCCTCTCCCCTCCTTCCCTCCCTCTCTTCCTCCAACCCCTCCCGTCACCATCCCAAATTGACAAAGGACTAATCGGAGCGGGTGCGCAATGCAGGAACCAAGCCGAGACCCTCACCCAGAACTACCGCCGCCTCGGCCTGACCTCGCGCCTCAACTCCGCCACCGGCGGCATCGAGAAGCTGCGCCCAGGCGAAGTCTCCCAGTCCTCCACCGCGTCCCGGCTCGCCATATCCAACGTCGTGCCGAAGCAAATCGCGCCGTCGGAAGCGCGCGTCGAGCGGGACCCTGAGACTGGGAAGATCCTCCGTGTGATTCACGAGGGACAGGCGCCGAACCCGCTGCATGACCCGTTGAACGCCATTGAGGATGCGGCGGCGATGGAGGCCGACGACGGGGGCGTGTTTGAGGGGTTTGGCGGGGAGGGGGGAAAGAAGGAGAAGAATGAGATTGTGCGGAGGCTGGAGGAGCAGGCGGCTATGGTGGGGGAGAAGAGGGAGCGCGGCCAGAGTGAGAGGGAGAGGGAGTGGATTGAGAGGCTGGTCAAGGCGTATGGGGAGGACTTTCAGAAGATGGCGCGGGATCGCAAGTTGAATCCGATGCAGCAAACGCCGAATGATCTGCGGCGGAGGATCGGGAAGTGGAAGGCGAAGTATGGGGATGCGATGGAGGTTTGAGGGCTGGGGCGTGTGAGGTGGTGGGCCGAGGAACGCCCTTCAGGTAACCTGTGGGATCTCGCCCTGTCGTTGGAGACCTGGAAATGATTCTGGCGGAGACGGTAAAGGCTCCCAGCCTCCCTCAGTGGTGTCGATACGTTACATAAAAGGGTCTGTTCAGGCGGTGTTCGGAGTTACGGTGGACATATGTGTATTTCCACACTATTTATTTGACGCATTCGCTCTCAGCTTTCGTCATGAAAATCTCTCTAACTGCCCAAAGGAAAGGCAGGTAGGCGGGTAGAATACTACGAGATGGTTTCCAACCGAACCGAATCGGCCTCGTGCTGACGCTCCGCGCTGAACAGAATATAGGTCTGGCTGTCCGCCCGCGGGAAACTGGTAGGTGGGCGGGCATCTTCACCCTCTGGCAATGCCGCGTGGCGGCCGAGACCCCAGAGCTCCTACCGTCCGTAGGAACGACCGAACGAACGGGCTGGGAGGATGACGGAGGTAATACACATATATGAATATAATTATACAAATATACAAATATATATATATATATATATATATATATATACAAATATATATCTCTCTCTCTCTTTTCGCACCCCGAACTCTTTCACTACGTACGTACGTATAGTAGTTGTACATTCATCTGTCAGCTCATTTAAGCTTTCTAGAACCTAATCGCGAATAAAGCTTTGGAGAAGGTAGATAGATAGATAGATAGATAGATAGATAGATAGATAGATAGATAGTAGCAGTGAAAAAAAAAATATATATATGTGTATGTATATGCATATGTATATGTATATGTATATGTATATGTATATGTATATGTATATGTGAAAGCCTCTTTCACGATAATGAGAAATGGGTTTATGGGGAATGGTAGTAAGTACGTAGTAAGTACGTAGTAAGTAGTAAGTAGTAGTAGTAGTAGTAGTAGTAGTAGTAGTAGTAGTAGTAGTAGTAGTAGTGCGTAGTAAGTACGTAGTAAGTAGTACGTAGTAGTAGTAGTAGTACGTAGTAGTAGTATCAGACCCAAAGTAGTTTTTGGCGGGGGGGGTGTCTGTCTTAGTTAGGACCTAACGGAGCGGAGCTTATCCAATTGAAGAGAGAGATAGGAGAGATAGGAGAGATGGAGAGTTGGAGAGTTGGAGAGTTGGAGAGTTGGAGGGTTGGAGAGTTGGCCATCGCTTAAGCACGAAGTAAAGTTTGGCAGAAGTCAATCGCCGGGCCTAAGTACTACTACTGTACAGTAGCGAGCAAGCAAGCAAGCAAGCAGCATGCATGCATGTATGCATGTATGTATGTATGTACAGGCATCTGGGGGTTTGGTACGTACGGAGCAGTAAGTACCGTACTGTAAGTAGTAGTAGTAGTAGTAGTAGAAGTACATATCGCCACTTCTACAGTACGTAGCTAAGCGAGGATGGAGGGGGGGGGGGGCATCGGCGTCCGTCGGAAGCGGTGCTGGGGTTCGCGAGGGTGGTAGGCCTGAAGTCTCGATAGGGAGTGGATTTGGGGGGGCAAAGTCCGGTTGGGAAATGTCATGGGAGAGACGGTTCGCTGGGGCGGTTTCGAGGCCGGGAAGGTGCGGGCTGTTGCGTGGACCTGGTTACTTAGGTGGTACGGTACATTCGATGGGGGTCTCTGGGGGGGAGTGGGTGGGTGGGTGGACGTATGGGATGCTGGGCTGGGGCGAGGTCCCCCCCCCCCCCCCGATTGTTGGGTTCGGTGGGTGCTTTCATGGGTCTTTTGACGTGGGATGGGTAAGGTAGTGGCTTCTGTGCGAGCATCTAGTAGTACCTACCGCACGAAGGGTCTTTTTCTGTTGTGGATGTCGTCAGGTTGGCGGGTTCGTTGGCTCTTGGCTTTGGGTCGCAGTACTTGCCGTGGCGTTACGGGATCGACGGGTTGGAAGCATCACATGGTTGGGTCTCTTGGTAGCGTGCGTCTCACGCTTGAAAGACATTTTCGTAAAATCGCTGAATGTCTGTGGAGTATCTAGGACAGTGGGAGGAAAAACATGTATGCAAACCTCGTCGTCTACTTGTTTTACATGTGTGCTCTATACATCTATCTCGTCACAGTATTAGAACATTATCATTAGAAAGGTATCCTGAATATGCCCCAAGACCAGATACCCGCTATTGCCAACAAACAAACCCGACATTATCACTGGCCCAACTGACTGCTGAAAGGGAGCTCGACGTAAGCAATCGAGACGCTACTCCCATCGACTGTTGACTGGGTATTCACAGTCTGTGTCTCATTCCACAGCACGACCGCCATTCGCGTGTCCTCGGGCTTGTCGATGTCTCCTGGTACCACACAGTCACCGCTCACATAACAAGCTCTGGCGTCCAACATCGAGGCGTTGCCCCAGTCGGGAAGGACGAATTTAGTAGTGTTCAAATACGCGGCTGCCTCCATGATCCTGTACAGTCTGAGCATTGCAAACACGCAACTGGACTCGGAAGAAGAATCAAAACTTACCATTCCGCTGAGGACCCCGGGGCTGGAAAGGTAGGACCTCTCCACGCTGTCGGAGCCGCCTGACTATATGCGAAGGTCTGGCTGGTGTTGAGGTTGGTGAGCGTCGTTGTACCACAGTAGCCAGCATCGGTCGTATTGATCATGACTCGAATGTGATCGCCCTCGCAAATCGCGAGCTGCGATGCGGTTAGGAAGACTGGATCGCTTGGCACCCTGGATGGATGGAGACGTCAGTTCCAAAGGTTCCCAAGTAGCGGTCGGAGGGCGAACGGAGCTAATGAGATGGTGTGCGCCGGACCATTCGTAAAAGCCCGAATACTCGGTTGTTCCATTCTCCCATATCGACATGAACACACCGGCTTGCCACAGGCCACGGGGCCCGCCACCATCTGATCGGGGGAAGCCATCCAGACCGATCCAGGACGCTACCGTGTAGCGATCGACTCTCGCGCGTGGGTTCTGAGGAATTGAAAGATGGGGCATGACGAGGGTAGCCTCTACAAGATTGAAGGCCGAAGTATTCGAAGAGCTATTGAAGTTCTCTGCGAGTTGGACCGGTCCGCCCCACTCGGAGCTATAGAACGGCACATATGGAGTGCTTTGCGCGGTACAGGCAGAGCCCAAGGACACTGCAGTCAGGAAATGATCGGGCTTCATCTTTGCAAGATTCGAGCCAGCGGTTGATGGTAGACTTCGGAGAATTGTGACGAATGTAACCTGTTTATAGCTTCTCTGAGGTCGGCCAGGCTTCGGCCTCGATATGAGCGTCTCCATAATAGATACAGTGTGATCCAACGCCAAAGCTTTCACCGCCGCAGGAGGCTCCAACCGACATGATTCGTGAGCTGTAGCGTGCACAGCCATCGCAACTGTTCCCATGATGCAATCGATCTTTTTGATGTCACTTCTTCCTTCCTGTGGGGCGACGATCTGAATTCATTCGGAAAGGTATGCGCTGCGCTAGCGAACTCTCCAAACCCCCTTTTCCGAGCCACAGTTTCTCGCTTATTCTCACCACTCCTCTTGTTTTCATTGCCCCTTTTTTCTCGCCCCTCGGAGTTCCTCAAACGACAACTAGAGCACGTCAAGAAGACGGAGCTTGGATCGCAACAGGAGTGAGAACCAGGCCTGCAGGTACTGGTCTGCATGTTACTTTCGGGTCCCCTTACTCCCAAGTGGAGATGGCAAGTGAGTCTTGAGTTCCCACGGGGCAGTTCGAGGGGGCCAGACTCCCTGGATCCTGAAAACCGGATCGCAATACCTGGATTCAGGAGCCTTGCATATACCGACTCTGTTCAAATTCAAATTGAATCCCAGAAACATAGTGTTTGCCAGGCCAATCCGCCAGCCTTGCAAAGCGTCGCAGAAATGGCGAGCCTAAGCTTCCTTCATGCCTACAGTGCTAGATAGTAGTAACTGCCAATGCATAAAAACACTTTTCGCACCAAGATTCAGGGTTAGCACTTCGAAAGCCAAAAAAAAAAAAAAAAAAAGTTACAACACTAGCCGGTGTTTACCAACTCTGTCTCCGGGGAAAGGGTTAAATCGAACCGCCAATCTTAAATCTGATTGTTTAACAGACCTGCTATAGATACCCCCAAAAAAATAAGCTGGAGTCGCTCCTTATTTAAGATTTCTCCTAAAGTTAAGCGAAAGTCAACGTTCTATACCTATATTCCTGCTTATACTACGTACTACGTACGTATTAAACTCCGGGACATCCTAGTGTAAAACTAAATCATCTTATAGTTATAAGCGACGTTATAGTACTTTTTATTAGTAAAAAGTATATGGTCTTTATTCACCTTTCAAAGCTTATGACTGTCGAAAGTTAAAGCTGTCAGATGTCCCTAGTAGGACTACGTACCACGGTACAGGTGTAATTGCTGCACCCTTAAGGGTACCTCAACGATCTAGATTTTCCACTTTAAACCCTCTGGTTAGTTAGCCTACCCTCAAGGGGGTCACAGTTACGCGTGCGACGTATAGTACTACTACTGTACGTAGCACGGAGTGGTAGAAGGATAAGAGTTCCGGTGCGAAGAGAAAAGTTTATGCATTCCCGGTTTTCCACTCATCACCGACTTGGCCCATATACTACTACGTACTACGTACGTTGTACAACGTATGTCCGCCACGCCTTCTTACCCCGACGATACGCGAACTTCACAAGATGAAAATATTTGGGGCCCAACAATTTCCCAGCTTCCTTCCGATGTCAAGTCCAACGGTACAAACTCGGTAACCTTTCTACTTAGCGCGGAACCAAAAGATTGGGCGGGTTTGCAGCACTGTGCGACCTTCCGTGAAGTACTACGTACTACGTACTACGTACTACGTATGATTCTACGTAGTACGTAGTAGTACCAGTAGTAGCAACGTGTATTGAACATTGCAGTGCGGGGTAACTAAGATTAGAAATCCGCCGATCGATTCCTAATCAGTCGTAGAGTATAATCTGGATAGGGGAATTGAATGTTATTGTGCATTAATCAGCCCTAGGCACGCATCTCCGTCCGCCCCGCGCCCAAAACCCAAATTTGATGTACTAGTTAGTACTAGTTAGTACTAGTTAGTACTAGTTAGTACTAGTTAGTACTAGTTAGTAGCTGCCGGTGTTATCAACGTTCGAAGTCCAGCAAACTCAGTCAGGAAGTAGCTTTGGACGGATGTCTTCCACGTACCGGTACTACTACTACTACTACTACCTACAACATGTGGAGTGGAAAGAGGCTCGCTTGCAGTCTGCTCGCTTTACTGGGTCGTGCCCATGCTCGTGAAGCTTTCCCGGGGCGAATCCTGGATCGCGCGACGGAGATTTTGCCAAAGTATGACTATGTTGTAGCTGGAGGAGGCCTGGCTGGGCTTGTTGTAGCAAGTCGACTGGCGGAGGATCCAGGTAGGTCATTCTTCTCGCAACTCACGAGCTCGAGATTAACTACTCAAGGGATGACGGTCCTCGTTATCGAAGCTGGCGGCTTGTGAGTCGGGTATCAGAAAGATCCAAGCTGGTCGCCAGAACTGATCAGCCTGCAGCGCGGAGAATGAAGATTGGATCACCATTCCCCTCGTGTCGTCGGGGAATGTACCTTCGGTTGGAAATGGGCCCAGAGGATCGAAATATGACTGGAACATGACCGGTGTTCCTCAGCCAGAGCTAGGCAATCGCTCGATCAAAGCCCCAGCCGGTAAAGTCATAGGCGGTGGAACGATTTTGAACGGGATGGTGTTCAATCGTGGATCGAAGTCAGAGTATGACCGTTGGGAGTTGCTGGGGAATCCCGGATGGAATTTTGAGAACTTGCTGTCTTATTTCAAGAAGTCGGAGAAGTCAACTCCGCCTAGTTTGAAGCTGGACTTGGAAGGCTGGGCCGTTGGGTACAATCCTGCGTATCATGGTAGACACGGACAGGTGCAGTCAAGTTTTGCTCCCTTTGTTTGGCCCTCAACAAGTGAGTTCCTGCCCCAAGAGCTTGAACAATCTTGACCGTAGCTCAAAGAGAACTTCATAAACGCAATGAGAGAATTGGCTGTAACAGTTATCTACGATGCAATGGGAGGAGATGCAGCCGGCGCTTATTGGTTCACTCAGTCGGTAGATCCAGAAACCGAAACGCGCTCAACTGCTCAGGAATTCGTTACCCCGAGCAGACCTAACCTACATCTCTTGATTCGCAATAGAGTCACAAGAGTTATACTAGATTCCGGCAGGGCCAAGGGCGTAGAGTTCTCGACTGGCAAAGATGCTGTAAAGAACACCGTCCAAGCCTCGCGGGAAGTGATCCTGTCGGCTGGGGCACTCCACACCCCCCAAATCCTCTTGCTCTCCGGGATCGGCGAAGCAGCACATCTTTCGAAAATAGGAATTCAAGTTGCGGTTGACCTTCCGGGTGTTGGGTCGAACTACCAAGACCATTTACTCCTGTTCACGGGCCAAACCGGCAGGTCACCCTTGACGCTTGACGGCATATTACTGACTTTGCTCGGGACAGTGGATATCGCACCCAGCATTGGAAACTTCAGCAACCTTACCTGGGCTTCGGAGCAGCGTGCCATATACGATTCCACCAGAGGCGGTCCATTTGCCACCATCGGCGCTAACTTCCTCGCCTTCCTCCCCGTAGAATCATTCTCGAATGTGACATCTATGTCTCTAGCTGCCGCAGCTCAACCTTCAACACATCACTTGTCATCAGAAACGCCACCTGAAGTTCGAGCAGGATACGAAGCACAATATGCCCTTCTTAGCAAAGGCCTCTCCTCGTCCTCGGTAGCATATATGGAGTTCATCTTCGATGACATCGCAATACTCCCAGCTCTCCAACAACCCTTCAGCCGCGGCACCGTCTCAATCAACAGTACTTCTCCCTTCGACGACCCCGTGATCGATGCTCGGTACCTGAGCAACCCTCTTGATCTTGCCCTCATGGTAGAAGCCGTCAAATACGCGCGCACGATCAGAGATACCGATGCCATGCAAGCCATAAATGCGGTCGAAACCTATCCCGGAGCCCAAGTAACGACAAGTGAGCAGATCGAGGCGTTTGTCAGAGCGGGTATTGATACCGAACATCACCATGCCGGGTCCGCTTCCATGCTTCCGAGAGAGCTCGGTGGGGTAGTTGATCCCGAGTTGAGGGTCTATGGTGTGCAGGGCTTACGGGTTGTCGATGCAAGCATAATACCGATGCTCCCAGCCGCCCACTTGCAGGCCACCGTGTACGGAGTTGCTGAGAAAGTAAGTCTTCTGAACCGCGGAATGCTGCTGATCTCACGTTAGCTAGCTGACTTCAAGTCAGGCGGCATATTTAATTCGGAAACGTCATTAATGCAGTACTATTTCACGTGGCACCTCATATCATACAGACTCCACCGCGAGAGGAAAATCTGCTTTCCGAAGTGCTGAGAGCGGCGCGATACAACTTACATTTGCACTTTAGCCTATCAAGACAGCGGCCTGACGAAGTGATGTGTGCCTTCCATTTTCAGATCGCTGGCCACTCAAACAGACAGTTGCCGGTTGGCTTTTTTTATCATGGCATCTGTCTAGCAGACTCTAGCTCACAAGTCTCGACTCCCACCAAGTGATCCAGACCTAGCAATATCTCACCAAATCCATACTCTGCTTCCCCCTCTCCGTATCCCCATGACTTCTGAACCAATAAGCGTGCTCCAGTAATCTATCTCATTTTACAGTATATGACCTCAGGCAGTGGTCGAGTAACCCGCGCCGACCTTGGACATCGCGAAGACGGAATTGCCCATCCCGCCGCTCAGAAATTTGCATCATGGTTTATCACTCCGAAATCCAGGGGGTAGCAGTATCCAGTGGCGTGGGTGGTAGAGTGGTTACCACCCTCAGGTCAAGCTGGTGTGGAGGGAACTGTAACGATTTGGGGCCGAGTGGTTTAGATTCACCGAACCACACACGACAAAATATAAAAAAAATCAAAGATATACGGATCAAAATGAAAACCCATCACAGAGGCTTTTCTTCTCCCACCGCGCGGTGGGAGTTTGTTTTGCCATT